TTGGAGGTACACAGAGACCTGCTCTAGACTTTACTCTGAGCAAATACCCTACTCACGTACTCTTAAGTCAGACTACTTTCATGCCGCTACAGTAAAATCTAACCATGACTGTAGCTCACCAACCTTCCAACTCCAACCAAGCATCAAACTCCTACTCATTATAGATGAAAGCTTGACTCAAATAGAAATGACCACAAACGTAGGAAGCTCCATTAAATAAACCGTAATTAGTCATTTTTGATGTCCATTTATATTTTGGTAGGTGACAAGCAGTTTCCAGTAGCTCATTTCTTCTCACGCTTGCAAATTCATCTACAAAATCCACAGTCACTGCCCTTTACGGTAAATCCCTGTGAAACGCTTTGAGATGTCCTGGTGATGTGAAAGATGCTAGATCAAATGCAAGGATTATATTGATTATTATTAAGTTTGGGGATTTGGAAAATGGCTCAATTTCTCTCCCCCCCTACTCAACTCTAGTTAAAAAAAATCCTCTCCGGACAATTAAAAACTCCTTCAAATAATTGCTGAAGATTGATGGGATGAAGAGCACATGTAAGCGTGTGACCATTCTTATGTAATGAATACAGGACAACAGGATATATCAGTACACAATGTATTCCTAACCTTGTTCGCTCTGGTATTTGGAATCTACATTAACATAAAAGGAAAGAACCTTGATCATCGCCAATTGTAACCATTAACCAGCAGCGTAAAGCAATGCAAGTTGAATAACTAAGGATGTTTGGGTTGTGTAACATCTCAGAGGCTTGAAATTCCACCTGGTCTTAGTCTGTGAAGCAATTACGGCTTATGATGGCGCAGATTTGTGGAAAATTCTTAAACTTGGTCTGAGTGTAATAGCCATGAAAACTGAATTTCATCAAAAAGAAAATCTGCTGGAAAGCCATCCGCCAATCGACTAACAACCGAGTTCCTACTTACCGCTCGGCAAACAGGCGTGTGTGTGGAGTAAGGAAACCTGCCTAAGGTTTCGCCGTGCCCGGGAATCGAACCCGGATCCTCTCGCTTGCAGGCGAGTGCTGTAACCACTACGCCACAGGACTCTGCTTAAGATTCCCCTGCACCACTGTACAACAAGAAAAACTTGCATTTATATAGTGCCCTTCATGCCGGATGGCGTCTCTGAGCATCTCGGACTATACCAGTCAGATGCAGACCTTGGCTGAACAGAATTGGTGGTGAAAATTGGACAAAAGTCTTCCTTTTTTTTGCTCTCCAGTTTCTGAGAAGACAAATTAACTCTGTCCGAAACAGATTGGACTGAGTCACCGGCAGTGACCGGGCCAAGCAGGTGCATTTTCAAAAAGCAATTTGAACCGAGATGAGAGGAAATGGCTTTGGAAGCTGAAACATATCCAGAAACAAGCCTTTAGCCATTAACCGCTTTATGGGCTGATCGACAGTTTCCACAAGCCTGTTTTTCAACAAAGTAATTAGAGTTTCATCCAAGCAAAGTCACTCATTAGTCACTCGGTGAGCTGCTTGCATGGGCACAAGCTATTCCGGATTCAGTAAAAAAAAGTACTAAGTTGGGTGAGAAGGAATTCGTTACTTTTAAAAATGTTTATCCTTCGGATGAGGCGTTAAACTGAGGTCCCATCTGCTCTTTCAGGCGGACATTAAAGATCCCATTTAAAAAACAGAAGGCAGTTTTTCCCGGTGTCCTGGCCAACAATCCCCCCAGATAAAATGGGTCACTCACGTTGTGGCTATTTGTGGGACATTGCCGTGCATAAACTGGCTGCTGCGTTCGCCCAGAAAATACGCAGTCACTACACTTTACAGTTAAAAAGAATGTGGTCACTAAATCCACGACTGTTTGTGGGACACTGCTGTGCGCAATTGGCCGCCCATTCCACCCACAAACTACGCAGACACTGCACTTTACAATATATTCTGTGAAGCACTTCGAGACGACTCGAAGACGTGATGAGGCGCTGTATCAAATGCAAGGATTATTATGTATATATTATTACTTTACAGTGAATCCAGTTAAGCACTTTGGGACGTCCTCCCGACGTGAAAGGTGCTGTATCAAATGCAAGGAAATGCACCACCGGACATTGTGTAATGAGCCTGAGCGCAAGCCCGTCAAGTCAGTCAAGGACCTTAGTGACGGAAGGAGGCAGGAAAGGTTCCAAAAGGCACATCCCTCTGACAGCTGAAGGTTGAGGAGACTGGGGGAAAATAATGTAACTCTCCGGAAACCAAACCTCACAGACAAACAGCGGACTGCAGGAAGCAGGTCAACATCCTCAAACAAACGGCACGAAATACAACATCAATAACATCTGAATAACAGAGAGTTTTAGCTGGTTAGATTCCAGCAGTTACCCCCGAGGCACACTCTGGGCTCCCCCCAAGCCTTGGCTGTTGTCAACCTGCGCCTAATACTTTCCGGAATTAGGTAAGCTGGATGCGAAACCTCCAGGGAGAGAGTGAGTGCACAACAATCTATCTCTGGGATTCGGCTGACCAAAAAAAAAGAGAGCAATAAGTCCAAATGTAGTCTTAATTGGTGCCTCTGTTGCTCCGTACTTAGCTGGGAATGGAACCTCTGTCCATAGGGTCTGGTGTTCTGCTCCGACCTAAATAAAAATAGGCTTAATACTGTGAACTGGTGAGAAGCTGGCAATCACCTTCCTCTTTGACCATGCCTACGGTCACCTCTCCTCTCTGCCCGATTCAGTGTCAAGTCCTACCCTTTAAGCCGAGACCCTGCCTCCACGAAGGGCGCTGTATAAATGCAAGTTGTTGCAGTTAAATGCCCCCCAATTGACCGCTCTAACCTGCCATAAGTTTCCCTCCCCTCCCCGCTGAGCCAGGCTGACATGACCGGGATGATTGATTGCAACTAAAGCTTGTGGAGTAGTGGAAGTGGGTTTGGATGTTTGTGGTTAATGATGGGTTAAACCCGTCACGTTTGGGAAACAAAGGGAGGCTGCAAAAAAAGTGAGAGTAATAATTTATACATATATATTAAAAAATTCTTTAAAGTTTTTCATCCTCGTCAATAAATGCCTTCTCCTCAAGGCTGCAATCGGCTACAGTAAGTCCACATGGAAAACTCCCCAAAGCTGAGGAGAACGGGTTTGATTTGCCGAGAACGTCCAGGCTCCAGGGCTTGATGCTCCCAGTGGATGTGTATTCTGGCCAAAACGGCCCAGGCCAGGCCAGCCAAGCCAAGCCAAGTCAAATCAGGCCAAGCCTTGGTTTGCGTAGTGGAAATCTGGAACTCTCTCCCTCCCCCAAAAGGCTGCGGATAATAATAATAATCCTTGCATTTGATATTGCGTCTTATTGCATCTTCGAGATGTCTCAAAGTGCTTCACAGAATATACTGAATTGACTGTGTATTTTGTGGGCAAAACGCGGCAGCCAATTACGCACAGCAGCGTCCCACAAACAGTCGTGGATGGAAGTGGCCAAATTTATTTTGGAGGAATTATTACCCGCGGAAAAGCGATCCGTCAATCGACTCACAACCGGGTTCCTATTTACTGCTAAATAAACAGAGGCGTGTTTACAGAGTGAGGACACTTGCCTAACTTTTTCGCCCTGCCGGGAATCGAACCCAAGCCTCTCGCTTTCGAGGCAAGTGCTCTAACCACTGAGCTACAGAAACCATTAAAAATGGGTTTAAAATTAAACTTACTGGATCCTGGATCCATTCAAATTTTCAAGACTGAAGTGGATAGGTTTATGTTGGGTCAGGGCATCAAAGGATATGGGGCAAAGGTGGGCAATTGGAGTCGAGGTACAGATCAGCCATGATCTTCTAGAATGGCGGAACAGGCTCTAGGGGCTGAATGGCCTCCCCCTGTTACTGTATTCCAGCCATCGCAAACACCGGGAGTGGGTGTGGGGGCGGGCGGGGCTAACCTCCCTGCAAATACACAGTCACTACACTCTGAACAGTGACTTCTGAAGCACTTTGGGACAGTAACAGCCTGTGAAGCGCTTTGAGATGTCTCAGTGATGTGATAAAACACTGTATCAGATGCAAGGTTATAAACCTTGCCGTCGGTACAGTGCACCGGATATATCAATGCAATTTGTTGTCGTCATTGTTGTTGTTGTTGTCAAGGCATAAGCTGGCAAGAAACCTCAGGATTCAGAGGTTAGATGAATGTCAGCCTCAGAGTTCAGATCCATCCGCTTCCCCTGGAGGTGGTGGGGGGGGTGGGGGGCGGAGCGGGGGTGGGGGCATGGGGTGGGGAAGACGACACCACCCTGGTCACCATGCGAGACCCTGCGGTTTTCATCACGACAACCGGAACACGTGAATGTCAATGGGAATCACTGATTAATCAGAGTTCAGCGGTCTTTCTCGGGGTCAGCGTGTCAGTTTGGGAACGCTAACTTATTAAACCCGGCCGTCGCTTGGTGCTCGCTTGCAAAACGTCTCTGGGTCCCTGGTTCAGTTTCACCGTTACACAGTCCGGCAATTCTCTTCCTGCGGCCGTCAAAATGGATCCGAACGCAGTTGCGCTTAAATTGTGGTCAGGCGTCGCGGAGGAGAGCGACGAGAGTCATCCCTAGAGTGACGAGCTATGAGGAACAATCAGATGAGCTAAGGCTCTTCAGCCTTGAACGGAAGTGCCCGACAACAGACCTTATAGTCCAAACTATATGCAGCGCAAATTTACATTTGCACAGCGCCTTTCACATCGGGAGGATGTGCCACGTGCTGATGTTTTAGGGCTCGAACCCACAAGCTTCTGACTCAGACTCTGACTCCCTCTAAGCAAGCACGCTTTGACTTCTAGTAGAAAGAGTTTAGGAGGAACTTCTTCAAGGAGATAGTGGTGAGGATGTGGAACCCATTGACGGAAACTGTGGTTGAAATAAGTCATGTCGACGAGCAATATAAAACCAGTAACATCAAGGGGAAATATATTTTAAAAAAGCTGAATATGGGCAGAGTAAATCAGCTGTAAAATTAGGTTAAAAAAAACACACACACAACTTTATTTACTGGGCGCTTTGATAGTTAGAACGAGTGCCCATGACTACATGTCCAAAGAGATACTGTCAGCGGAGCTCAAGAAACAGAAATCAGCGTTCTGAATCAACAGGAAGAAAAATTGCACAATTTCTTCATAGTTCTTCACCGCAATCCTTTCGTTCGGGCCGTGAATCCTGCGAGCGAGAGAGAGAGAGAGAGAGAGGGAAGAAGGCAAATAAAAAAGAAGTTATTCGAAAAAAAGTGTAATACATCCATCTTTTGATGCTTTCCAACAGCCAATCTGAAGAGGCGAGCAATGGAATTATAATAAAAATAACAGTAATTATAATCCTTGCATTTGATTTAGCGCCTTATCACGTCGACGAGACATTTCAAAGCGGCGCTTCACAGGATTTACTTTAAAGTGGATTGACCGTGTGGACGAAATCATTATTGTTAAATTCTTGTTGAGCTTTTGACGTCAACAATGGATGCAACGATCCATTGGGCCAATGAGGCCACGGGACACTGACAAAAGGCACAACAACAAAAAAAAACAAATCGATCAGAATGATAGCCTCACAGCCCTACATTCAACGTTTAATTATTCATCGCACTAAGAGATTTGACCAGAAGTTCAATCTCGCTTTGCTCAGTTAAACCAATGTCTAAACGCTCGTATTTTGTGATGAAATGGACACCATTTGGGCATCCATCCACCTAAAAAAAAACACAGAAGTTTATTGTAAAAAAAAAACTGTATTGTGCAAAGTTTATTGTAAACTGTGGCCAACTATTGAGACTGTTGGATGGAGATAATTATGATCTTCAAGGCCCAACATAAGGCTTGAATCCACAGCTTCCCGGATGAAGGGTTAGCGTGTCAATTAGCTCCAGATGATAAAATCGACCACATTCGCAGAGATGGGAGATGGCAACGTCAGTGGCCCAAAAAATTAAGAGCAAACAAAGCAGTGGGCGTTGGCACAATGGACCCCTTAAACCAGGCGAAGGCTGAAGGCAACGCATCTAGACGGCAACTGCGCTGGCTGGGCATTGGGCGGAACGTCAGGGCGACGGAAATAACTCAAGAGGCGCTCTGAGAAAGAGCGGTGCAGGTAGAGGAATGGATCGTAAGCACTCGGAGTTCTACGGCGCAGGAATGAGGAAAAATGGGAACGAGCTAAGACTTCCCAAACCAGGACTTCTGCAATGGACCGTTGGTCACTTGGCGCCACCGTGTGGTTTAACGCAGGTACAGCAGCCACCACGCTCAAGTTCACCAACATTTCCTTCCACCAGTCACGTTTACAGCCTCAGAAAGTATTACGGATACTCTTGGATGCTCTTAAGCATGGTGTTGGGTTTCTGGACATGCGAAGCCTTCAATCTGGATGCGTCAAACCTCTGGCTGACCCCAAAACATTATACATCTATCACAAGATTGCCCGGGAGATGCCAATGAACCCCATTTGATCTTCTTGTACAACAGTGCAGCTTTGAGCCATCTGCTAGACAAGTCCAGGAGCAACTCTGCCCGGATTTTTCCTTGTTACACTTATTTGAACTCTTGTTTATCCTCCATGGAAAGGACTACTGCCTGTCCCCCAAATTGCCCTTTACACTCTGACCCAGTCATCTTGTGTGGTCCAATCTTAACCAAAACAATTCTGGGTTTGGTTTCTGGTTCCTTCTGTGCTATGATAATATATAATCCTTGCATTTGATATAGCGCCTTATCGCGTCTTAGAGACGTCTCAAAGCGCTTCACAAAATATACTATAAAGTGAATTCACTGTATATTTTGTGGGCAAAACACGGCAGCCAATTGCGCAAAGCAGCGTCCCACAAACGGTCATGGTTTGAGTGACCAAATTATTATTATTTGTTTTTATTTTGGAGGGATCATTACCCCCAGAAAAGCAATCACCCAATCGACTAACAACTGGGTTCCTACTTACTGTTTGGTAAACAGTGTAGTGTAAGGAAACTTGCTCAACGTAAAGCGTGCGCTGTAAGGAAATTGCCCAACGTTTCGCCCTGCGCAGGAATCAAAAACAGTTTCTCTCGCTTGTGAAGCGAGTGCTTTAACCACTGAGCTATAGGATGCCACAGGAATTATGATAAGAATTATTTTTCCGCTTAATACAGCACTTCCCTTATAGTTCCAGACAAGAATCTTACCGTGCCAAGTCTTCCTGGTTTAGCCTGGCGGGTGAAAACCTGTAGAGCTCTTTGGTCAGGTTCTGGTAGTGTCTGGAATCCGTGATTCCGATGCAGAGGCCTGGAGAGGAGGAAGAGGGAATAAAGTAATCAGAAGACGACCAAAATGTGTTTTTAAATGTTAATTCAATGTCATACAACGACCCTCAATCACATGACAGCTTTCAGCAAGTTGGGTTAACATTGGTCAACAGACGCGTGTGTGTGTGTGTGTGTGTGTGTGTATAAGTGTGATGTGTTGTGTGTGTGTGTATTGAGTGCGTCCTCTATTCCAGACACAGGGGAAATCTCATGTGTTGTTGGTGTGCGTATATGGAACTGTCAGTCTGGTTTAGATGCTCGTCAGCACGGTGATGGGTTCCTGCAGGTGTCAGATCCCCTGACCAAAACCAAGCCAAGACCAAAATAACCCCATTCAACTCTGTGTTTAGATCCATCGCTCCTTGGAGAACGTTCCGAGTACCTGGAGCCACGGCGACGTCTGGGAAGGTTTCCACCACGGTGGTCCTGATGAGCTGATACCCGAAGGACGTCTCGTCGTAAGAGCTCATGGGAGGTGAGGGAGAGAAATTGATGACTTCCACCTTCACCCGAGTGTCAGCTACCGTGGCATCAATCTGAGAGAGAAGCTGGAGAGAAAACATCATCATCAACAACAACAACAACTTGTTGCTCCTGCCAGCGGCTGCTGAAGGGAACCAGAGGGGAACGGCCTATTAAAAATCCTTTGCTGTGGCGCTTTATTGTCTCAAAGTGCTTCACAGAATTTACTGTGAAATGAAGTGACTGTGTGTTTTGCAGGCAACCCAGCAGCTCGCGTTTGTGCTCAGTTGAAATGAGAGGATAATTGAGAGGTAAGTCACAATCAGGCCTGACCTGTTTTAGTGTGTGTGCTGGATGGAGACGGACATCCACCAAGGCTCTGGCTGAAGGTGGATTGACGTTATCCTGAAAAGACGAAGAAATTGAAAATCAGAAATAGGAACGTTCGTCTTTCGAAATAAATTAAGACAATAATAATTTGGTCACCAGCCCTCCACCCCTCCTGATCCCAACCCCCAGCTCTGACTGTCCAGCGCCTTGGGACGTCCGCCCGACGTGAAAGGCGCTGTGTAAATGAAATTTGTTGCTGTCGTTACCTTAATCCCAGCGTGAAACTGGGTCACTGTAGTTGTGGTCCTCACCAGGCTGTTGGTAGCTGGTTTCTGTTCCATATATCTATTATTAAGGTGACAAATTTGCAAAAGATTTTATTAACTATCACAAGAGCCTAGCTCCAGCCCTTGTCTCTGTCTCTTTGTCTCACCTCAACCAAGAGGGCAACTGAGAAACAAATGTATATGATATGTATATTGTGCAGCTTGACTCCACTCAATTGCATATCAGATACTCCTTTAATTGCATAGCAATTTCGAAAATTCGCTATTTGTTTGCATGGTGTTGCACCCCACTCAAATGCAAATCGGATAATTGCATAATCTGCTTAATTGCATGAATTTCCAGTCAATTTCATTCCCACCTGTATAATTAGTTCGGCGGGAAGAGAGACGGAGCGGGAGGTATAAAGAGAGGCAGGGATGGGAAGGTGGCACCACCAAAGCACTGCTGGTAATAGTCCGTATAATTGCATGGCGCCTGCTCCATGCAATTATATGGAGTGTACCGCACAGTGTTATTTATGGTATTGCAATCATCAGTCGTTTCCTACCTGCCGACTGAAGAGGAAAACAACCACAGATTGGCCATGATAAATTTCATAGGGAAGGTCATCTGAAAGACAAAAGGAACAGAGATTACATCCTGAAGGCTGAGAACATGGCGATCAGCCAATTTTGGGCAAGTCCGACAGCCAATTTGCCTATAGCAAACAGCCAGGGAGTGAACAATCAACTCATTATATTAAATACCTCAATCAAACCACCCTTTAATCTCCTCTGCTAAACTCTAGGATTGTTGCTCTTGTTGAACGTGTGAATGAGCTGGCCACAAGTCCCGTCTCAAGACCTCCTCTTTGATCGCGCTTTCCGTCACCCTCCTACCCCGACCCTCCCTGCCCTCCACCCCTCCTGATCCCAAACCCCAGCGCAGGTCCAAATCCCTGACTGTCCAGCGCCTTGGGACGTCCTCCCGACGTGAAAGGCGCCGTGTAAACGTCATCTGTTGTTGTTATTGTGAGAGGTCATCATTGTAACGAAGAAAGAAAGACTCGAAACACATCTTAGGCAGCAAACGTCTGATAAGTATGCAAAGGGTGTTGACGTATTGAATGGACTGTCACAAAGTGACGGCTGGTTGATCACTGGTTGGTTTGTTGCAAGAGGTACAAATTCAACCCCGAGTGTCCCATGCGAATCAACGTCAAGTAACGCAACAGTCCATGAACCATCTGGTTCCTGTCACTGAAGCGGATCTTGCTGTGACTGCTGTCGAGTGTCAGTTGTTAACACATTGTCAGCGGGCTCCCAGCACAGCCCAGTGGGATGCAACTAACCAGCTTCCCACTCGCAGACTCATTTCCAGTAACGAGCTTGCAGCCTGTCAGTTTTCGTTCCTAATACGGTCTGGTTTTTAATTCGACCGCAAACTGGGTCTCGCTTCCTGGCCTCCTGCTCTCCCCTCCCCGGCTGAAAACTCTTTCCACTCTTTACTGGGTTAATAATAGTCCTTAAGTGCGGACACACTTCCAATCAAAGGCACCCATTAATGGTCCGAGCTGCCAATTCCAGTCAATTCACTTTATGGTATATTATAATAATAATAATAATCCTTGCATTTGATATAGCGCTTTTCACGTCGGGAGGACGTCCCAAAGCGCTTCACAGAACACACTGTAAAGTGAATTGACTGTATACTTGTGGGCGAACGCAGCAGCCAATTGCGTACAGCAATGTCCCACAAACAGTCGTAGATTGAAAATGACCAATTTATTATTGTTTTTGGTTTTGGAGGGATTATTATTAGGCTCTGTGTGGAGTAAGGAAACTTGCCCAAGGTTTCGCCCTCTGCCTGGAATTGAACTCAGGTCTCTCACTTGCAAAGCGAGTGCTCTAACCACTGAGCTACAGGACTCCACAATTCTGTGAAGCGCTTTGAGACGTCTCGAAGACATAATAAGGCGCTGTATCAAATGCCAGGATTATTATTATTAGAAGGTCCTGCTGTCTTCATGACAAAACCCATTTGCTATGGACAACACAACGTCAATTTGAATAACTATTAGGTGAGCCTGGATACGTGAAAATTTGACTTCATGGCATCACACTCAGTGTGTAGACAATATCAAGGATATATTGCTGAACACCATCTCCTGTATCTCCAATTGGGGCTTCAAGAGCGAGGGCTTTGGTTCCATTGGGGATGTATGTTGTTACATATCACTCACAAACGAAACAATAATGTCCTACAGATCCCGGGTTATCTCCGTCCCTGAACATCTCAATAACACTTCGTAAATGGCTGTACCTCAGTAGTGAGGTGCTCAATCATTGCCCGCTCTGGTCCTCGACCAAACATCCGAGGCATTGGGTTCTTTTCCAGTCTAGAGAAGGGGGGGAAAAAAGCAATGGCTGCAAGTTGGCTCTGTGGTTTTGTGTGTGTGTGGGAGTAGGGGTGGGGGGAAGGGGAAGGGGATCGTTCTTTCGCTCACCTGGACACGGCTTCGGCTAGGATTCCGATGCTGGTCTCCCTGGGGGGGATGGAGGCATGGCCGGTGGTGGTGGTCACGCTCAGGCTGATCGTGGCGAAACCCTTCTCGGACGTGGCTATGCTGGAGAGGATCAGACAGCTCGCATTTGAACAGGGAACAATTCACCGCTTTGCACCTCGGGAGGACGTCTCAAAGACGTTTCGCCCACAAAGTACACAGTCAGTTCACTTTGCAGTACGTTCTGTGAGGCGCTTTGAGACGTCTCAAGGACGTGATGAGGCGCTGTATCAAATGCAAGGATTATACAGAAGCTTCGCATTGCTATCTGGCCACCCAGGCTGCGGGGGTGCAAGCTGTTGTTGCTCAGACTCTATTTAAAAATGGAAGAGAGTTTCTCTCTCTCTCCCGGTGTCCTTGCGAACCATCCCCCCTCCCCCCCCCCACCACCTCCCAAATGAAGTTGGTCACTCATTTCATGGCTGTTTGTGGGGACGTCACTGTGCGCAATTGGGCTGCCGCGTTTCGCCCACAAACACCACAGTCACTCCTTTTCACGGCAAGATCCTGCGAAGCGCTTTGAGACGTCCTTCCGATGTGACGAGGCGCGTGACCAAACTGCACGGGTTATCAGCATCGATTTGGAACTTGCCCTGCCAACACCACGGGCGGCTGTTGCTACATTTCCACCCCCAAACAGCATGATAGCATCCTTAAAGCTACTTCTGCTCGAGTCTCAGCTCGATCACGCACTTCACCCTGAACAGAAACTGAAGGCACTTATCGTCCAGTCGTTGCATAGGAAGAGAGAAAACGTCAAAGCGAAATGGGTTGGGAGACTCGAAACTGAGCTGTTTCGACCTTGGGGAACATTTGACACTCAGATAGATGTTTCCTTTTCCCATTCAGTGACTTGCAAGGCGTAACATTTCCTGACAACCACCCAAACTGCAGCCATGTTTCCTTCCTTTATTCTGCTGGTAAAGCCCTTTTGGAGGCATCGTAGCCTGACCCCAAAACAAAAACAGTAACGTAACGCCCTTATAAACGCAACAGCACTTCGCAGCCGAGAATAGTTTATGGAGGAACTATTGGTCAGATGTACCAAAACTCTGAGGCATGTCAAGTTTCAATGATGCTAGGTTCTATTTTTAGTCTGTGTTTGTAAGCCCTCTGTGTTACAACCCTATTTATAAGCATCTCGATGTGTTAAGTTAAGTGCGTTCAGGCTGAAAGATCAGGGCAAAGCAGGAAGGCTCCTTGCTTCCTTTTTGTAAATAGACATTGCGGTGAGGTTGTTTATGGTGCTTCTGCGAGAGATGTAGCTGTTAAGTGGATAAGAGGGCAGAGAGTCAGGCCCTTTTTGCACCATTGAAGCTCTGGGGTATATTTTGCATCCGTCACTTTGTTGAGTGTTTATCTGTAGCTGATAGCAGGTCGTTGCAATGTGTGTGTGTGTGTGTGTGTGTATGTGTGTGTGTACATCAACAACTTGCATTTATATATAGCGCCCCTCATGCAGGTTTGCTCCTCAGAATGCTTATATAATAATAATAATCCTTGCATTTGATGCAGCGCCTTCTCACATCTTCGAGACGTCTCAAAGCGCTTCACAGAATGTACTGCAAAGTGAGTTGACTGCATATTTTGTGGGCGAAATGTCCTTCTATGTATAAATAGAGAGAGAACCACATATATACATACAAATGTACATACCATACACACACATACTCAGCGTGTGTATATGTCTCTCTCTATGTAGTGCACGTGTGTGCTTGACGTGTTTTCACACACACACACACACATACACACACACTATATACCAAAGCTTTCCCCCATGGTCTATGGAGAATGGATGAAGCGACTAAGCAATTGAGACACACACAGCATTAGCTCACTGTGCGGCTGTCTGGGGCTGTGCTACTCACACTGCGGCAGATTTCTGCAGCCCCGAGATGATCCCGTCCAGTATCACGGAGCCTTCATCCAGCAGGAAGGAGGGCTTGACTCCCCTGGACTGCAGTTCAGCAGCGATGCTCTTGGCTCCATTATAACCTCCAACCTACGGGTCAAACCAAAGACACCTTCACGTTCCACGAGTGTCTACATTACAACATCTACGAGGAGCTGTGGGAGGAGGATTTGTACAAGGGGTAAGTGACTGTGCACGTTCATAGCTGCAGGTCTTAACTGCGGGATTTAATAATAATAATAAGTGGACTAACCACTAAGCTATGGGACTCCTTGAGAGGATACACGTATATGAACGATAATTCAGCATAATTCACCCTGATGTTACTGTGTGAGTTATTATGCAGTTGTGACGTCTCAAAGCGCTTCACAGATTATATTGGAAAGTGTAGTGACGGTGTATTCTTTTTGTGGTCGAAACGCGGCAGCCAATTGCGCACGGCAGTCGGTGTCCCACAAACAGTCGCGATTACCTCTTCATCGTGTCCGAGTCCGATGTAGAACGATCGACGAGGTCTGTAGCCTCTTCTCAAAAGAAACTCCAGGCCTTGGAGTATTGCCTGGTGGGAAGAGAGAGAGAGAGAAAAAAAAACGTGGAGAGAAAGTTTCACCGTTAGACTGACACCCGACACGGTTCTACACAACATACGGACCAGGAGATCGTTAGTTCGAATCCCGGCTTGTGCTGAGTTTACCGATCTCAGCATCTACTCCATTGTAAATTGGACAAGACTATTTTCTCGTTAACTCCAGGCTAATTGGTAACTGGCAGGAACTAACTGTTTATAACCATAAACCACAAAAAAATTAACTTGCATTCCTATAGACTTCATGTGAAAAAAAACAAATTAAACAAGTTGTCTCGGTCTACGGATACCCAACAATACCCAGTGGGACAATGCACTGCGTTGCCATAGAAAGTCGTTGAATTATTGCCAACTTTCATTGCCAATCCTAGTGGTGTTTCCAATGGCACAGCAATTAAACCCAGCTGGTTGGCGTCATCGCTCACGAGGCTTTGCCAACTGTTTCCTCAACACATTCCTGACACAGCAGTTTTATGTACATTTTTTTTCCGCTGTAAGGAATGTTCGAGAACCCTCTGATTCTCCAAACAAAGCATCGCATGAGAGAATTACAATGGGAAACAGCGAGGTCAGTCAGTCAGTCAGTCCGTCAGTCAGAAAGAAAAAATGCTTCACATGGGACGGGAAGGGGGGGGCGGTCAAAGAACCCGATCACACGCCCACAGGCCGGCCGGCCGCCGAGGAAGGTTCTGGAAGCCGTACCACAACAGACTGTTTGTCGTCCAAAGTGCCACGTCCGTACAAATAGCCGTCACTCTCCTCCCCGGAAAACGGCGGGAAGTCCCATTCTTCCTCCGCCACGGGAACCACGTCCAGATGGGCGGTCAGGATGTACGGCCGGAGCCCGGGGTCTGACCCCCGCACGGTGAACAAGTGGCTGTAGTTGGCGATGATCTCATGCCTCACCAGGTCCGAGGAGAATACGCCGGGAAAGGCTGCGGAGAAACGAAGGGGAGCGTTTGCTTGAGGTTCAGAGATTGTGGGACTCGCTGCCTAAAGCACTGATTGGATCAGATATTGTAGATAATAATTAATAATAATCATAATAAACCTTGCATTTGATATAGCACCTTATCACGTCTTCGAGACTCCTCCAAGTGCTTCACAGGATATACTGTAAAGTGAAGTGAAGTGACTGTATATTTGGTGGCAGCCAATCACGCACAGCAGTGTCCCACAAACAGTCGTGGATTGAGCGACCACATTATTATTATGTTTTTTAAGGGATTATTACCAAAGGAAAGCTGCCAGTCGACTAGCAACCCTCCCTACCAACCTGCCCGCTCCCTCCGTTCAGCAGGCCTGCTCCTTGTCTCCCGCCTGACCTGTCCTTCCATCGGTGGCCGGGCTTTCAGCCTCTCTGCCCCCACACTCTGGAACTCCATCCCACGGTCCCTTCACCTCGCTTCCTCCCTCGCCTCCTTCAAGGCCGGTCTCAAAACCCTCCTCTTCAATCGTGCCTTCAGTTGCCCTCCCACCTCTCTGCCTTCCCTCACCCCTACCCCACCCCTCCCCCATGCTCAGGTCCTGACCCCCGACTGTTCAGCGCCTTGGGACGTCCTCCTGACGTGAAAGGCCCTCTATATATGTAATTTTGTTGTTGTTAGTTGTTGTTGTGTTTCTTATTTACTGCCACTAACACAGTGAATCTTGTAAAGCACTTTGAGACGTCTCTGCGACGTGATAAGACGTTAGATCAACTGCCTGGGTCACCATCTCAGGGGTGGGGGGGGTTGACCCTGGCATTTATTGCCCAACTCTTGTTGTCCTGATAATGTGGGGCAGGGAGAGGAGAGGCTGAGGCCTTCTCTTTAAATCCCCGCAGTACCTTTGGCGATAATGGGTAGAGAGTTCCGGGATTTAATTATGGGAAAATTCTGTACTTTATAAATTACGTTAAGAAATAAAAGATGTTGCTCTCTCTCTCTCCCCCCAGGGGAAATGATCTTGTGTCTCCGCAACAGGATCGTGCGATCTGAACATCCTCTCTTAGACCTCGAAGAGGATCTGGGCAAAAGTCCAGGCCTCAAGCAAACAACAATTCCTGTTCATATTTCATAAAGTTATTTAAGCTGCCTTTCCCTTCAAGTAATTCAAACCAGACTTGACCAGGGCAGCTTGATCAATGGTGCATCGCCTTAAGGAACGCTGTGCAAGCAACAGTAACAGGGTGAAGCAGAGTAACTTACCTTCTCATTGTAATTTCTCCCATGACTAACTCTAAACTCCCTGCTGTGTGTTTAAGCATCTTGGGTGTATTTAAACACAGCAACGTCCCACAGACAGCCACAAAGTGAATGACCTATTTTATCTGGGTGTGGACACTTGGAGAGAAACTCTCTTCTATTTTCCAATGCAGTAACAATAATAGTCCTTGCATTTGACGTACAGCCTCATCACAACGTTGAGACGTCTAAAAGCCCTCCGCAGAATATACCGTAAAGTGGAGTGACTGTGTACTTTGTGGGCAAAACGGTTTTGCGATTGACTCTGATCCATTTCGCAATCAATCAGGATGACGGTAGGGACGGCAGAGTCAGAGTTCCCTCACTTCAATTGGGATGAACGAGACAGGAACTGAAACCATCCAAAGAGCACACGAGGCTGTAAAAACTGGTGGACGCGGGGCTGAGTGTGGATCGACGCCACGTTTGGAAACAGACGTTTATTATATAAAAAGAAATCCACAAGCAATTCATCATTTTCATTTTGCACTTCACTTTAACACTGCAATGTAGGTCACCGAAGGACTGATAATCACAAATTCTGGTGACTGCCGAGATTCTCACGCTCTGCATCACTCTCACGGGGCCCCACCAAACTGTGACTCATTTTCCCTCAGTGCGTGCACCACTGCCAAACACTTAACAACATGGGATTGGGAGATGCCTATGTTCAGATCAATTTACTGTACATAGCTGCAAGCGTAGCACACGAGGTTCGAATCAGCCTTGTGAGTTCATTAGCGGTGTGTAAATAACAGTGAAAGCAAATTTGCCCCATGAGTCATGTTCATGTGACACTATTACATATCGGGATCATAATAGTTTAATTTTGAGAACGTCTCAAAAGTGCTTCACAGGATTCACTGTAAAGTTGAGTGACTGTGCGATGTTGGGGGACAAATTCACTAACAACGACTTGCATTTATATGTCGCCCTTCACGTAGAGTAACGTCTGTTTCAGAGCGCTGGAATGTACGGACAAGGAGAGCAAATCACCAGTGCAGAATCAGGAGTGATATACAAACCATTCAATGGTTTAAATCAGTTTAATTGATTTCATTTAATCAATTGAGTTTAAGCTGCTGTAATACTGGGTTCGGAGGAACAAAGAGGGAAAGATTATTCCCACTGGCTGGTGAAGGGTGGCAGAAACCCATGATTACTATATGATGAGAGAGGGTAGAGGGCTATTCCTTTTCATAACGCAAAGACTCGATGGGTACGTGAAGCAAGTTATTACACTTGATCTCAGCCAGAAAGGTCGAGGTACTTTTAAGCACGGTGGTGGGTTTCCGCGTGGATCAGACACTCAGCTGACCAAAAACACATAATACCAACCGTTAATTAAACCAATTCGGTTTGTTAATGGACTGGAGAAGAAATTGGAGAAAGAATTCTAAGATCTTATGAAACAACAAAGAAATCATCCGAATACAGCATATAGTCAGGAATTGACCGTAAAGTTCACTTATAAATTGAGTCTTTCTAATAATAATAAATAATAAATAATAATAACCCTCGCATTTGATACAGTGCTTTATCGTGTCTTCGAGATGCCTCAAAGCGCTTCACAGAATATACTGTAAAGAATATATAAAGACTGTGTATTTTGTGGGCTAATTGCGCACAGCAGTGTCCCACGAACAGTGGTGGATTGAGTTACCAAATTATTATTATTATTATTTGGAATGAGGACAATAAGAAAGCCTAAATGTTAAAACCTCTTGGGGCAAAACTGAAAAAAAAAAATGAGCTGTGGCCAGAACTGTATTTTTAAATGAAATTAAAAGAAAATTATTTTGTTGAAAGTTAAAAATTCCCAAACTTAACCCTTCCTGCTCCCATTTTGGTGTGTCTTTATTTTGCTCAGGGTGCAAAACATTTGAGCCAGAACAGTTTCGAGTCACAGGATGTTTTGGGACCAACATCCAATTTATCAAGTCAAAAAACGTTAGGAGGAAAAATTCCATTCCCCAGTGAACAAACATTTGATTGTCACACGGGTTCGTTAAGAGAGTCTGGGAAAGGGTTTAGTTAGGGTTAAGTTTTCGAGATAACTCCCCCAAACGTTTATTTTTTTTGCAAAACAAAGAATAAAATGAATGTATATGTATATATATATATGTACATATTAAAAAGATACCTTTAGGCAGATAGTCTGTGAAACTCTTCAAAGCTGTAATGTTGAGCTCGCTGTAACTGGTGGAGACTGTAGGCAGCTGAATCGCTCCTTTAAAGACAGATAAAAGCTCGTCTCTCTCTTCTGGGGTGAAATTAGCCGCGAGAGTCCTGTTGTTTGGCAGGCAGTCTCGGAGCTGCCAGGAGCCTGGCTGGAATGTGTGAGCCCTGATCAGCAAGGCGACGAGAAAGACAGCAAAGGCACACAGCACGAGCAAGGCTGTGAGCTTGACTATTCTGGCTCTGTTCATCTCTGCTGAGCATCTGTCAGCGGCCGGAGCTGCCCAGAGCAGCCCTGAGCACTGGAGGAGAGCCAGACACACAGAGAACAGCCCACACATCCAACACACAGCTGCAAGGGAGGAGATGCTACGGGGAGTTGCTGTATTTTCTCAACAGAAACCCATTTCCTTTTCTTGCGCTCTTTTCTCTCTCTAGAGAGAGGTGAGTCATGATGGGTTTACAGAGTGTCAACCAGCAGTGAGTTGGGAAATTGAATAAGCTATTTTCTTTTCACCCTCCCCACTCGCCCCTTTTCTCGAAAAAATATCTCCTCCCTCTCCCCCACCCCCTTTCCTCTTTCCCGGTGCAGTAATTTGCGTGTAATACTCAGTTCAACCATTCAGAAGGAAATGGGTTGCTATTGTTTCCATCTACCAGTCCAGCTACACACATGCACACACGCACACACACACACACACAAAGCCCCTCTTGTTTCCGTCTCTAGTTTATAGAACTGCTCAGTGAAATAATGGGGCCAGTTGTATCAATATTAACAAGTATAATAATAATAATAATCCTTGCATTTGATGTAGCGGCTTATCACGTCGTTGAGAAGTCTCAAAGCATTTCACAGGATGCGCTGTAAAGCGGATTGACGGTGTATTTTGTGGGCGAAACGCGGCAGCCAATTGCGCACAGTAGCGACGCTCACAACCAGTCGTGGATTGAGTGAGATTGTTAGCCCAGAAATGCAAACCAACTGGTTTACTTACTGCTCGGAAAACAGAGGTGTATGTAGTAAGGTAATTTGCCTATAGTTTCGCCCTTCCCGGGAACCAAACCCAGGGTCCACTCCCTTGGGAGGCGATTGCTCTAACCAATACGCTACACGACTCCGAAGATTCTAATGATAATAATCCTTGGACTTGCTGTAGTGCCGTATCGTGTTGTTGAGACGTTTCAAAGCGCTTCACAGAATATACTGTGTAGGGTGTGGAGTCCGTCATAGCAAGACAAGTCATCGCTTCGCAACCATTGTTTACAACGACATCTTGTATTTATGAAGCGCCCTTCGCACAGGACAGGGTCTCCGAGCGTCGATTTACTGACCAACGTATGGGGTGGATGCACATATAATCCATCTATTAAAGTATGGCACCTCGGACAACAACAAATTAGAATTGTACAGCGCCTCTCACGTCAGGAGGATGTCAGGGATTTGGACCGTGGCGTGACAAGGTGGCGTTCCCTCAGCAGAACACGCCTAAATCATCCCTGAATTCTCTGACACTAGTGCTTCCCTCTGTATCGGATCCCGAGTGTAATTAAACCTTGTGGTTTTGTAATTAGTGTCTGATGTCAGTGCAATTTTCATTGACGTGGGAAAGCGTCCGACACCTCCAGCCCTGGGCACTCACGGAAAATAAAAGAGATCAGTAAAATTTGATGCCGCGCCTTACTGCGTCCTCGCAAGCTCTCGAAGCCACTTTGCGAGACTTTACTGTGAAAGTCACCAGGACGTGATAAGGTGCTATATCAACAGCGAACGTTACAGTTATTATGATTGCGATGCCAAAGGAATGGGCTCCACCTAAATAGGGCTGGGACAAATGTCCTGGCTACGCGAATAAATAGGGAGGTAGAAAGGGCTTTAAACTACTAAGGTGGGGGGGAGGTAAAAACATAGTAAAGTATAGTCCACCACAGTTAAACTTGAGATCAACAAAAGCAAGAGAGCAGATTAACAAGGGAGAAGAGCAAAGTGTGTCAAGCCGGGAAAGGAAGTACAGTGATAGAGTGCTGGTGAATAGGGTTAATAGCCGGAAGTCAGAATTAAGGGCACTATATCTGAATGCACGAAGCATTCGTAACAAGATAGATGAATTAGTTGCACAAATAGAGACAAACCGGTATGATCTGGTAGCCATCACCGAGACATGGTTACAGGGTGATCAGGGATGGGAACTGAATATTCCCGGCTACGTGGTATATAGGAAAGATAGGCGATGTGGTAAACGAGGAGGGGGAGTGGCCCTGCTAATAAAGGATGGGATAAAAACAGTAGAGAGGAAAGATTTTAAATCTGAAAAGCAAGATGTAGAGTCAGTATGGGTAGAGATACGTAACTTCAAGGGGCAGAAAACTATAGTGGGAGTAGTTTATAGACCCCCAAACAGTGGTCAAAGTATCGCTCAAGGTATAAATCAAGAGATTAGTGGAGCATGTAGCAAAGGAAAGACACTAATTGTGGGTGATTTTAACCTGCACATAGACTGGGACAACCAAATTGGGAAAGGTAACATAGAAGAGGAGTTTATAGAATGTATTAGAGATAATTTTCTAGATCAATATGCTGAGGAGCCGACCAGGGAACAAGCCATATTAGACCTTGTTTTGTGTAATGAAACAGGGCTGATCAGCAAACTGGAACTTAAGGCTCCTCTCGGGCAAAGCGATCATAATATGATGGAATTTAGCGTTAAGTTAGAGAGGGAAGTAGTTAAGTCTGAAGCAAAAGTCTTCAATTTAAATCGAGCCAACTTTGCTGGTATGAGAGAGGATTTAGCCAGAATAAACTGGGAGACTAACCTTAAAGATTTGACGGTAGACCAGCAATGGCAGACATTCAAGGAGATAGTGCAAAATTCCCAACGAGCACATATTCCTTTGAGGAATAAGAATGCCACGGGAAAGGTGGCCCAACCGTGGCTCACTGGACCAGTGAGGGACAGTATAAAGTTAAAGGAAAAAGCCTATAAAACAGCTAAGATGAGTAGTGAACCCGAGGATTGGGAGAACTTTAGGGATCAACAAAGGAGAACCAAAAAAATGATTAAGAGGGAGAAAATGGAATATGAGGCCAAACTTGCGAAGAACATAAACACAGACTGCAAGAGTTTTTATAAATATATAAAGAGGAAGAGGCTCGGGGAGTGGGCAAGTAGGTGGCAGATGGAATTCAATGTTAGCAAGTGTGAAATTATTCACCTAGGGAGCAAGAATAAAAGAACAGATTATTTTCTGGAAGGGGAGAAGTTAGATAGTGATAGTATTCAAAGGGATTTGGGTGTCCTTGTACACCAGTCCCAGAAAGTTAGTTTGCAGGTGCAGCAGCAGCTAAGAAGGCGAACGGCAGTTAGCGTTCATTGCAAAAGGTTTAGAATATAAGAGTAGGGAAGTCTCGCTGCAACTGTATAGGGCTTTGGTGAGACCGCACCAGAGTATTGTGTGCAGTTTTGGTCTCCTTATTTAAAAAGGACATACTTGCCCTCGAGGGGGTGCAGAGTAGATTCACTCAGTTAGTTCCTGGGATGAGGGGACTGACCTATGAGGAGAGGCTGAATAAATGAGGGCTGTATTCTCTAGAGTACAGAAGAATTAGGGGAGATCTTATTGAAACTTATAAGATTCTTAAAGGGCTGATAAGGTAGACACTGAGGGTCTGTTTCCCCGGGAGGAGAATCTATAACCAGGGGTCACAGTCTGAAAATTAAGGGTCAGCCTTTTAGAACAGAGTTGAGGAAACATTTCTTCACTCAGAGGGTAGTGAATTTATGGAATTCACTCCCCCAGAAGGCTGTAGATGTCAGTCCTTGAACATTTTCAAGGCTGAGACTGATAGATTCTTGAAAAATAGAGGGATTAGGGGATATGGGGATAGGGCAGGTGATCAGAGTTAGGTGAGAAGATCAGTCATGATCTTATTGAATGGCGGAGCAGGCACGAAGGGCCAAATGACCTACTCCTGCTCCTAATTCTTATGTTCTTATGTTCTTATGCACACACTCGCCAAAAGTGTCTACTCCATATATGATTTTGTGGGCAGCTGAAAGCGAAAATTAGTGGTTCCTGGCTTCAGGCCAAGGCCACAAATAGATTAATAGGCTGCCAAGAAGCATTTACTGCAGCATTTGAGGGCGTACGCTCTTCTATTAAAGTACTATTTAATTGATTGGTGACTGTATATTTGCTGTGTATTTACTGGTTTTCTCACTATACGCTTTACCCTCCTCCTCCTTTCTCTCTCTTTCGAAACGTTTGGAGAGCCACAAAACCACTCCTTTGAACAACAGCTGTCCCCGAAACTGTTTGCTGATCTTCTCTGGGCAATAAGGATCAGCTTCTGCACCACTGGTATTTGGAAAGTTCAGAGTCAGCTCTTGACAAGATCAAAACCTGTCTCAGAGTACATGCACTTGGGAGGTCTGCACGATGGAAGAGGAAAGATATGCATCAACAGAACAGCTTGCCGCACTACAACCAGCTTCATCTTTCGAGTTCTTTTGGCTCTTTGGCAAAAACACGAGGACACGTGAACATGTCTCCCAAAAGGCCCAGCATCTGATCCATATCATCAGTCAACAACAACAACAACAACATGCACTTATATAGCGCCCTCCACCCAGGGTGGTGTCTCCGAGCCCTTAATCACAGTCACTGGCATCAATCTTCTTTGGTTACCGTTTCCATCATTGCACGCAGTCAGCTCCATTTCCATCCCGGGAATGTCGGACTAAGCTTCTCAACCTTTCATAAGCGCTTTGAGACGTCTCAACGACGTGATAAGTAGATCCTACCTAAAGTTGGGAATTCGGAAATGACAGTGCTTTTTTTTAAAAAAAAAGAAGTCACTGACACGGTAACAGTTTGTAATGCTTTTAAACCCAAATGGTACTGAGTTCCAATTGTCGGATTCAGGGATTTATTCCACCATTTTATTAGGTCATGGCTGATCTGTACCTCAACTCCAAATTGCTCTTGAACGCTATACAGATCACACATCACTCGTATCGCCTACAAAATGCAGTCACTACCCTTTACGTGAAGCGCCGTGCAGCGCTTTGAGACGTTCCTCCCGACATGAAAGACCCTGCATCACATGCAAGGATTGTTGGACAAACATGGTATCTCTTTGTATACTTTGGGCTGAATACCTTGCATTGAAATGAGACACTTCAGCGCTTCAAACCAAATGTTAGTTCCTCGGGATAAACAGTTGGATCAAAAAGTTCCCCATAAACCTTTCAACAAAACAAGGAACATGCATTGGTGTTTTTTGTACACTAGCACCAGCAATTCAAACAGCTCTGTAACGGTACCCAAGCAAAACTGTGTGTTCGTTGCCAAGGAAAGCACAGCATTCTCTCCAATACTGTGAGCAAAGGAATCTGCCAAGTGATAATCTTGTGGCATAATTGTTCATTTAATGAGAGGGAACTGCCAGTGTGACTAGACACAAAAGTCTAAACAGTGTTTGTTAGACTGCGCGGAGAAAAGGCCAAGTCCGAAACAAATCCAAGTCACTCAAAAGGCTCATAAGGTTTGAAGTTTTTAATCAAAATGGGACTTTGTTCAAAAACATTGCTTCGGGTATTGTTTCTGGACGAAACAAAAAAGGAAAACGCTTTCTGCCGCAGAACAAAATGCAACATTTCACTCGGACGATTTCTGATCTTAAGAAAAAGCAACTGCCAACAGACATTAAACAACATGACGTGACATTAAACAACTGCAACACACACACACACACACAATCAAACACAAAATCACACACACAAACAATCAAACACCCGCGCACACTGTAATTATAAATCAGAAGACCTTCTTAATTATCCGCTGAACCTTGACGTGTGTCTTGCGGCTCCTTTTGCCAGCACTCGTTCCCCGGAAAGGATTTAGTGCTCACATTACATCTGCAACTCTTCTCGTGCTGGAACGAGCGCAGAGATTTATCAGAATCTTTTAATTAGATCTTGGAACAGGATCCAGTTGTTTGGCGTCGTTTCCTGCATTTGATATTCTTTGACAAATTAAAGAAATGATCCAAAAAACAAAATGACAAATTCTAGGAACTTCTCGAAAGGAAGTTTGAAGGGGTTTTCCATCAAAAGAACCGTCCTCGCCAAGTACTGGACGGACGTAAGAATCGATTCAGACCGGACAATTCAGATCAAGAGTCTGGTTGATGTTGGTACAGAACAAAGAAGCTGTTTCAGAGACATCTGGATTATAACAACAACATTGACCCAGTTCCTGTTCGCAGTCCTGATCTCTACAGCTCGTGGCCGCTGCTGTGTACATTAAGCCGCAGGTTGAGGTCAGAATTCTGTATCAGGTGGAAGTAAAACCGCACGATTTCCTCGTAGTTCTTCACGGATATCCTTTCATTCGGGCCGTGAATCCTGCGGAAAGAACGCAGCGCCGAGTAGGGCAAGCGTTAGCTGTTTACCCGCTGGCCCCCTGTGTCGCTACCCCGCCTAAATACAAGTCGCCGCTCTTGTTTTTGTTGCTATCCAAGCTGCCCGCGTTATCCACCATTTGATGACTCAATCCACCGCTGTCTGTGGGACGCTGCTGTGTTTGTGCGACTGGCCGCCGCGTTTACGCCCACAAAATACACAGTCGCTGCACTTTACAGGACATTCTGTGAAGCGCTTTGAGTCGCCTCGACGAGGCGCTGTATCAAGTGCAAGGATTATTATACAGTATATCCACCCGATCCTAAGACCCCAAATTCCATGCGAAGACCGAGCTGCGCCACAGAACATGGCTGAGCCTCGACAGGACAAAGCCCTCCTGAGGCCTTCCTTTCTGCTCACTGCCTCGTTTATCGAGGGAGCGATTAACACAAGGTCACTGGTCACATTCCCAGGGTTTGTGTTGCCGCTTTATACGTCCTGTAACAATTGCCCTCTCTTATTTCTGGTCTGTTGACTAAAACAGTCTGAACCACAATTCATTCACATTTCCGATTTTACTTCAACTCTTTATTTATAGTTTAAAAAAACTCCCGACACACAAATCCACGACTGTTTGTGGGACACCGCTGTGCGCGATTGTCTGCCAGATTTCACCCACAAAATGCACACTTTTCGATATATTCTGTGAAGCGCTTTGAGACGTCTCAATGTTGTGATAAGGCGCTATATCAAATGCAAGGCTTAATTAATTAACATTATTATTATTAATTATTATTATTATTTTACCTGCCGGTGTCTTCCTGAGTAATCCAGAGTGGGACAAATCGATACAAACCTTCAGTCAGGTGCTGATAATGACGAGTATCTGTGTTTGCAACGGAAAGACCTGGAACGGAAAGCAATAGAATTAGTTACAGCAGCACTTTTGACGTGTATCCAACACAGGTTACAGTGGATGGAGGTGATGTTTCCCAAACTCAGTGTTTTTTTTTCTTAGCGATGAATGACGATCATTGTCTTTAAGGATGACAGAAGAACAAAAAGCCTCTTTGTACCGAAGAAGAGGCAATCATAGTCTCTCTCTCTCTCTCTCGTGATCAAGATCGCCAGTGGAAGATTAAGGCAGAAATTCAAAGAATTTCAACAACAAACACGCGACTTTTTGGGGAGGGGTTACAAGGCAGATTAAAAAATTTGAAAACCTTTCGAAGCAAATAGGAGCCCGTCTTAAGACTTACCTCTTTGACCAGGCTTTGGGTCATCTCTCTCTCTCCTCCTGCCCACCCCACCTTAGTTTCGGTGACCATCTCCCATCCCCAACCCCCCGCCCCCGCCCCCCCTCCCGCCCCTGTATTTCTATACCTGGAATGACAAAAACCTCTGGGAACACATTCTCCACAGTGGTCCTGATGATCTGATACCCAAAGGCCAACTCATCGTGAGGGCTGGTGGGAAGTGGGTCAAAGCCATACAGAAGGTCAATCTTCACTCTATCGTCATCGATGGTGTACCGCATCTCCTCAATAAGCTGAGGAGGAAAGTTAGTGGAAGGATTAGCCCCGAACACGGCACCTTCAGTGAAGACAGCAGTTATTTTACAATTCTTGCATTTGCAGTGTAGCCTGCAAAGCGCTTTGAGATGTCCTCTCGGTGTATATTAAATGTAAGGATAATTATTATTGTTATTAATAATAAAATCCACATTACCCCTTGAACAGAGTGCGCTGGATGGATACGGAAATTCAATGTAGCGTTTGCTGTCGGAGGCAACACATTGGGCTGAAACACAAAAAGAAGCAACAGAAATGTGAGTCACTGAAGTCTGACAGAGGAAACGGGGCAATGAGCAAGAGGGAGACTCCGAACGAGACTAAAATATTCGTTCTGAATCAGAATCTAGCACTGGTATCCTTCCACACGTGAGCACTCTGAGAAACAGCAGGCCATGACCTCTACGCCTCACCTTAATTCCCGCATGGAATTCAGTCACTGCAGTGGTGGTCCGGACTAAGGCATTCATACTTGGATTCTTTTCCAATGTCCTATTAGAAAAGAAAATTTACGGGGGTTTCAACTGTCAAAGGCTCTCTGCCTAGTTGCTTGAGTGAGGGTCAAAGTTTGACCAGAGCCCGAGGGACCACAAGAACGAAAAACTGAGTCAAATGCCCATCAGTAGTGGACTCCCGTAGCTTATTGTTTAGAGCGCTCGCCTCACAAGCGAGAGGACCTGGGTTCGATTCCCGGGCTGTTGAAATATACCAACTGTCACCCCAGCAATCGAATGTTCCAGAAGGTTAAACGGTTAAAAGTCGTTTTGCTGGACGGGCTGAGGTTAGCTTCTGATTACATTTCATAGTTTCCTAGAAAGATGGTTCACTCCTCTGAGATAACGAGCAATCGGGTCCTTCAGCATAACTGTAAGAACAATGGACCACAGAAAGAAAAGGCGACAGGCTCAGAACCCGCCAATCTCCAGGCTGTGGAAGGCTGCCCAGAAGTGGTCCATATCTCTCTTTCTCTGCAAAGCAGCTTACAGGGGTGAGGGAATTTACCACCAGTCAGAAAGTGACCACTAAGGGTGAAAGAGGAGTGAGTAGTGGTCAGCAGCACGAGTGAGGTGCTGGGCTAAGAGCTGATTTTTTTCTGTCGAGTTACAGGAGCCACTCTCTGCGATGCTGCGCGATTGTTCTGTGAACTCTCTAGTGTTTGTCAAGGTGTGACAAGTCTTTTGCTCGCATAGATGTGTTGTAAAGTTATTGTGTTGTTATGTGTAGTATAATTTGATTACTAGATTGTTAAACCTTACGTTTCATCTTATGCAATAAACTCTACTCTTACCACTGCCCCTCGAATTATTTACAGTGTATTCTGCGAAGCGCTTTGAGACGTCTCGAAGACGTGATAAGGCGCTGTGTCAAATGAAAGGATTATTATCAGAAGAGAGAAAACATTCACCATTACCGACCGGGGGCCACCCAGCTCACGGCTGATTGTAGGACGTTACGAGGCGCAAACTATCTGCCACGTTTGCCATATCAGATGGAAGGATTGTTACCGAATTATTCAGTCCTTCTATTGTTTTGGTTTCTGCATTTCCTACCTGCTGATGATTGGGGCAAATAACCACAGGTTGGCCATGATGATATTCAGGGGAAAAGACATCTGCGGAACAAAAATAAGGAATGAAACGTTAATGAAATAATAAAATTCATAAAATACTTTGAATAAGGATTTAGCCCAAGCGCTTTAAACCGCAAACAAGGTCGTCCTTATCTGATCTCCTACTGTCCTCCCATCACAGCGACTAGCTGTTTCTTTCTCAATGAGCTCAACAACAACTTACATTTATATGGAACTTTTTACGTGGGGTAGCGCCCCGGAGCGCTTGAGGGTGCTGGGTTCTGACCCGGAACCAGGGCGACAGGGAGGGTGGGGGAGGTGACCGTAAGCACGATCGAAAAGGCTGGAAAAGTACAAGTTCAGTCTCCTGGCCTTAACTACCCTTCCTGGAAACCTGTTCCTGTTGCTGATTTCCCTCTGGGTAAAGAAACGTTTATGCTGTAGAATTAGAAAGACAGGTAAGCAAATTCTAACAATCTTTGCATTTGGTAGACAGCGCCTTTCATGTCGTGTCGGGATGACGTCTCAAAGTGCTTCACAGGGATCGCTGTGAAGTAGAGTGACTGTGGATTTGGAGGTGAACGTGGCATCCTGATGGCACACATTCCTTTATCGTTGAAAAAAAAACAAGAGCCCGACTAAATATGATGTAAACTCCATTAGCTGAAGATAGTCTCACTGATCACTGTCTTCCAACCAACCATTCTTAGAGCTAAAACAGCATAGCTTGCCTTTGATATCACTGTGGGGAAAGCTCGCCAGACAGCGATAACAATGTAAGCGATGGTTAGACTCCAGCACTTACCCCAAAGCGCACTCTGGGCTCCCTCCCAAGCCTTGGCTCCTGCCAACCTTCCCATAATATTTTCCGGAGTTAGATAAGCAGGATGCGTTCCACCAGGGGGTGAGTGAGAGAGAGCATGTTGCATTCCAACAATCTATCTAACTCGGGGATTCCCACGTGTAGTTGGGAGGCATGGAATTCTCAGCTTGGTTTGGATACACTTAAGCCCGGTGATGGATTTTTGCTTGTGTCAGACACTTGGCTGACCCCCTCACCAACTCGCCCCCACCCAAAAAATTCTTACCTCGGGGCCTAATTGCTCAAACATAGCCAGCTCTGGCCCCAGGCCAAACATCCTTGGCATCGGCTTCTTTTCCAATCTAAAGCAAAACAAGAATAAAACGGTCACGTTTTTACTCACCCTCTCGCCCCCCTCCTCTCCCCGCATTGAATGCACGTGTATAGAGCCTCTCGAGGTTGGGAGGACGTCCCCAAGGCGCTGGACAGTCAGGGATTTAGACCCAAGCTGAGGATTGGGATCAGGAGGGATGGAGGGTTGGACAACAGTGGGTTCACTATAACTCTGGAGGGCGAAACGGGGATGTTTTCACACACTTACCTGGAGACAGCGGAGGCCAGAATGCCAATGCTGGACTCCCTCATAGGCATGGAGGAATGGCCGGTCTGTGTGTTGACTTTCAGGCTGAACAACGCTTGTCCCTTCTCAGTCACAGCGATGCTACAACAACAACAGCAGCTTGCATTCACACAGCGGCCCTCACGCAGCGCAGCATCTCGGAGCGCTTAACAGTAACGGAGCCCGACTCCGAGCCGAGGGAGGAGGTGACCGTAAGCACGGTCGGAGAAGAAGGTCTTCAGTCGTGAATCTAAAAGAGGGGAAGGAGAGGGCGAGGCGGTGGGATTGGGGGAGCGAGTTCCATAGCTTTAGGGTGCAGTGGCTGAATGGCGCGGCGGAGGGGATGAGGGACGAGCAGGAGGCCAGAGCCCGCCGGGCGGAGGCGACGGAGAATGGAGTGGGGAGTAACCGGGTCGTGAAGGGGTTTGCAGACCAGTGAGAGGATCTTGAAATCGTTCCGTTGTGCGATGGGGAGCGAGTGGAGCCTGGCGAGGACTGGGGTAATGGGGGGAGAGGGGGGGGGAGCGCGGGGTTTAGTGTGGGTGAGAATAGGGGCCCTGGAGGAGTCACAAGACCCACACTTGTGAGAATGACGACAATTGCACAGCGCTATCAGGCAGGATATCATCTCGGAGCGCTTCACAGTGGCGGGACTGGGTGCCGAGCGAGAGAGAAGGGGTGTGGGGGGGGGGAGGGGGAGGGGAAGTGGTCCCCTAGGAGCGGTCGAAGAGGTAGGTCTTGAAACAGAACCAGCGGGGATTATTATATCGTTATAATCATTATATCATTGGTTACTCACACTGCAACAGGTTTCTTCAGGCCCGGGATAATGTGGTCCAAAATCACTGAACCTTCATCCAGGAGGAAGGAGAGTTTCACACCTCTGGACTCCAGCGTAGCAGCGATATTCCTGGCTCCGTTATCACCACCGACCTGTGGATTCAATCGGAACGCAAAGACTTTATCACGTCGTCTTCGAGGGGTCACAAGCACGCAATCACACTCGCTCCTCTCTTTTTTTGTGTTGCTCAACAAAACACAACAGTCACTACACCTGGCCAACAATCCCCCAAATAAAATCACTCCCTCCCTCCCTCACTCACTCAATGGCTGTTTGTGAGACATTATGGGACACACCTGGCCCTGAAGTTAATGACCAACTTATCTGGAGATTGCTCTAACCACTGAGCTACGGTGGAGTCCTGTAGCTCAGTGGGTTAGAGCACTCGCTTTGCAAGCGAAAGCCCTGGGTTCGATCCCCGGCAGCTCAGGACGAAACCTTGGGCAAGTTTCCTCACTCCACACGCCTGATAATAATCTCTCAAAAAAAACTAATGATAAAGTGGTCACTTCAATCCACGACTGTTTGTGGGGACGCTGCTGTGAGCAATTGGCTGCCGCGTTTCGCCCACAAATATACGGTCAATTCACTTTACAGTCTATTCTGTGAAGCGCTTTGAGACGTCGAGAAGACGTGAAAAGCGCTATATCAAATGCAAGGGTTATTATTGTTGTTGTTGTGTTGTCGCGTTTGGCTCCTCTCGCTTGCGAGGAGAGTGCTCTAACCACAACACTACACGACTCCACAACGATAAGGCGCAACGTCAAACGTGAAGATCATTGTTTTATAACTCGTTAGAATTTCTCGTTCCCCCGGCACCTCACCAGGAGGTTTATTGAGCGAGCTCTTGGCTTCAGTTACCTCCTCGTCATGTCCAATCGCAACGTAGAAAGCCCTGCGAGGGACGTAGCCTCTGTTCAGGAGGAACTCCAGAGCTTGAAGTATTCCCTGACAAGAGAGAAAAACAGGGAATGATTGAGAGAAGGTCACAGGGATCGCTCTGGTTTCCACGGCTTTTTCCAGCCTTGATCCGCCCACACTTCATCCCTTTCCCTTCCCATCTTGCCCTACTTGCCGGTTACAATCAGCAGTCAGTTTACGACAACAACAACTCGGATTTATATAGCGTCCCTCGCACAGGATAGCGTCCCAGAGCGCGTAGTTTAGTTGCCCGTTGAAAGCACGAACACAAGAACGGAAGAATCGCTCGGCGACTTGAGTTAAACTTCCACCCGATACACTGAACGCCACTCAGCGTCAGGAACTTTCATGCACTCGACGGATGGTGACAGGCTCAGTGTGAACACGCTTCGATTTCAATCTCCTACGCGCTCTGAGGCGTGATTCCCGTGTGACGGGCGCTCCGTGAATGCAAGCTGCTGCTGTTGTCGTAAACGGCGCAGTGTGTGAAAAAAAGAGAAACCTGCTTTTTCTCTGTTAAAAGACTTCACAGCACTGTGTACACAAACACACGCACTCAGCTCAAGAAATTACAAAGCAATTCCGAGACCTGGCAAGATGACATTTTAAGGACGAGGTATGCGTCGAGAAAACACAGTCACCGCACTTTAGGATAAATCCCGTGAAGCGCTTTAACATGAAATATCCTCCTGACATGAAAGGCGTTGTATCAAAATACGATTATTATTAATTATTATACTTTTTTTTAAACGGCCTTTTGTTTCCCGAAAGTTAAACTTTGAGAAACAGCGACGAGGCTCGTTGAAGAGTATTTTTTCCAAGAATCATATATATTATTTCCAGTTGCAATCATTGCTCACTTCTCCCGGCTTATCTGATTGAGACTCTGACAAGACCTCAGCTTGATTTGGATCCAAGTCGCAGATGGCTCGGGTAGACTGGGAAAACATTACTGATATGCAACAGCACTGCACCACATCAAGGCCAGCGCACTATTATGGTTAACTGCAATCCAAGCTTCAATTCAACAGCGGTGGGGGAAAAAAATATTTGCGGAGAGATAACATCTTAATCTGAGGCCACGAAAGGAATCATGTCATCAAACAAGAATTTATCGTCTCGTTTAAGAACACGCTGAACTTCGGATCCCCTTTACATATCTATCAGGACCGCGTGGAATTCATCAAGGATTAAATGAATGTTTTAAGCTCTCCGCTGCCTTAGCTGGAAACTTTCGGCAGGCCGCCAACTTGGTGATAATCCTTGCGTCCGATACAGCGCCTCATCACGTCTTCGAGACGCCCCGAAGCGCTTCGCAGAATATACTGCAGAGCCAATTTGACTGTGCGTTTTGTGGGAGAAACTCGGCAGCCAATTGCGCACGGCAGCGACCCGCCAAAACAGTCACAGATTGAGTGAACAAATTATTATTATTATTATTATTAATAACCTGAACCATTTTGTGCTGAAAGCTAAAAGGGAACTAGTTTCTCCTCTCAGGCAAGTGAGTGGGCTGGAACTCCGTGTTTTAAAGGGCTTAGTGAAACCTCACCACAGCCGATGCTTTGTCGTCCAAAGTGCCGCGTCCGTACAAATAGCCGTCACTCTCTTCCCCGGAAAACGGCGGGAAGTCCCATTTTTCCTCCGCCACGGGAACCACATCCAGGTGGGCGGTCAGGATGTACGGCCGGAGCCCGGGGTCTGACCCCCGCACGGTGAACAAGTGGCTGTAGTTGGCGATGATCTCGTGCCTCACCAGGTCCGAGGAGAAGACGCCGGGAAAGGCTGCGGAGAAACGAAGGGGAGCGTTTGCTTGAGGTTCAGAGATTGTGGGACTCGCTGCCTAAAGCACTGATTGGATCAGATATTGTAGATAATAATAATTAATAATAATAATTAATATTAATAATAATCCTCGCATTTGATACAGCGCTTTATCGTGTCTTCGAGACGTCTCAAAGCGCTTCACAGGATATACCGTAGAGTGAATTGGCTGTGTATTTTATGAGACATGATGATGTGATCCTCTTCGACCGTTACCCTCCTATTCTCCCCCACCGCTTGCCCCTCACCCTCCCCGATCCTGACCCTCTGACACACCGATTGCCCAGCGCCTTGGGACGTTTCCTTACCCCACGCGCCTGTGTTCACCCCTAACGGTAAGTAGGAGCACGGTTGGTAGTCGATTGGCGGATCGCTGTGGGGGGGGGGGGGTAGGTTTATTCCCGTACAAAAATAAATAAATGAATAAATAAATAGATAATAATTTGGTATCTCAATCCACGACTGTTTGTGGGACGCTGCTGTGCGCAATTGCCCACGAAATACGCTTTGAGACGTCTATATGTAACGCAAGGAATATTATTATGATGAAGGATTTGGGGGTGGGAGGGAGGGAGGGAGGGTGGGAGGGAGGGAGGGAGGGAGGGAGGGGAAAGAGGACGACCGACAGCAAACTGTGCACCATACAGCATCAGGAAGAGGCATACCTTGTGGGAGATAGTCCCTGAATGCCTCCATGGCCGCCGTGTCGGGCTGGGCGCGGGCGAGAGAGACGGTGGGTATCTGCACGGCTGCTCGCAGGTTGGAGAGAAGCCTCTCGTTCTCCCCGGGGGTGAAGTCCGCAGCCGAGGCTGCCCGGAGCCGGTCTACCTTCCGCCCACCCCCCGCTGACAGCGTCCTGAGCAACAGCGCACAGCACAGCAACGAGACGGCCAGAAAGACAATCCTCAGCCACCCGGGAACATGCATTGCGCTCACCGCACCCTCCACACAGGTAACCAGCACAGGTGGGAGTGGGGGTGGGAGGTAACCTGAGACAACCAGCGAGTGGGAAAGGTAAACCAGGGAGCGTGAAGGTTCACGAGAGAGAGGGAGAGAGAGAGAGAGAAGGATACCAGGAAGGAGACAGGTAACGAGCGAGGATACAGGTAAGCTCGGAGGGTGAAGGTGACCTAGCGAGGAGGGTGGGGGTTAGCAGCGAGCGAGAGAGAGAGAGAGAGAGAGAGGAGGTACTAATGTAACGCTGCTTCCTACCGATACCTACAGGTGGCTCAAGTCAGTCACGGGAAGAAAGCCTGCTGGATAATGTAGTCTTATTGTGGTCAGACACACGCACGCAGACATGCGGACACACACACAGAGACACACACACACACACACGCACGCACGCGGACACACACCAACGCGCTCCGAACTATTGGGAGTTCCACGCACCGCATTTCTGGCTCTGAATCCTGATGTTGGGGGGAGAGAGAGACGGTTCGAAGCAGGAAACGTCGATTCCTCCGAGCGCAGATCGGATAGCTTTCTCTCGTTACACTGTGGGATTCAAGAGGTACAAAGGCGCCCGCGACCCGGCACGAAGGTGGAAGGAGAACTGGATGGACCTCGGACCTTTTTTTTGGGGTCGTCTCGGGGTTGCTTACGTTCTTGTCCACAAATCGTCTCACGTTCCGTACAGTTCACGCCGTGGAGGACGTCTCGAAGCGTAAAAATCCCGTGAAGCTCTTAGAGACGTCTCGGCGTCATGATCGGGAGCTGCATCGCATGGATTATTATTATTGTTATTATTATTATTATTATTATTATTATTATTATTTCAAAGTGATTAAAGGCGAGGGTTAAACCAGGACGGTTTATAGAGATGTGAGAGGCTCGGAAAGTTTAGTCAAAGAGGATTAGTGCCAAGTCAAAAAAAAAGTTTGAAAATAAACCCTGTAGCTATGAACGTTGACACAACCCCAGTATGTGTTTATGCTTAATCCATGACCTTGGAGCTTGGATTCGAAACAGATAACCAGTGGTTGCAACCCAAATAAGTAAACCAACGGAACAACTTTTTCCCCCTTCTCCCCTGAAATGGTAGCGTCGAGTCACGCGCGGTTTGTTTTTAAGACACAGGGAACGTCAGCCACACCCGCGAACCCGCGCGCACACGCACACACACACACACGCGCGCGCACGCACTGGGATTTGCGATAGGAATTTTGCAATGGGATCAAACCGAATCGAGAAAGGCGAGTATTGAGCAAACTCCTGGCTTTCAGGACGACGGTTCGCCTCAGAGATTTCCTAACCATCCGCTATAAAGCGTTTTTCACTCACGGCAAGTGTTGCACTCGCTGTGCTGTAGGAACACCTATGGGTCATTGGACGCTATTACCCAGATCACCAGGAATTAATTTGCTTAAAAGGGCAGCAGCATCTCCACGGGAAGAGCAAGACTTCATGTTATTATTCGCTTCGTCGATTTAATCGAGAATCCAGAACCACTTCACTATCGCATCCTCGAGGCAACCTTTCACGCCGGGAGAGGCGTCTCAAAGCGGTTCACTGAAACGGGTCGTGATTTGTAGCCGAAGGTGGCAGCCAATTTGCACGTAGCGACGCGTTAAATAATAATAATAATCCTTGCATTTGATATAGCGCTTTTCACGTCGGGAGGACGTCCCAAAGCGCTTCACAGAACACACTGTAAAGTGAATTGACTGTATATTTGTGGGCGAACGCGGCAGCCAATTGCGCACAGCAATGTCCCACAAACAGTCGTGGATTGAAAATGACCAATTTATTATTGTTTTGGGTTTTGGAGGATTATTATTAGGCTCTGTGTGGAGTAAGGAAACTTGCCCGAGGTTTCGCCCTCTGCCTGGAATTGAACTCAGGTCTCACGCTTGCAAAGCGAGTGCTCTAACCACTGAGCTACAGGACTCCACGTTAGTTTATTTTGTATTTCACGTAGCGATGGGGAGTGCTGGAGCTCAGCGGTTAGCGCTCTCGCCTCGCAAGCGAGAGACCTGGGTTCGATTCCCGGCGGGGGGCGAAACCTCGGGCAAGTTTCCTTACTCCACACGCCTGATAATAATCCCTCAAGAAAAAAATAAAGAAATAATAATTCGGTCACTTCAATCTGTTGTGTGGAACACCGCTGCGCGCAATTGGCTTCCACGTTTCACCCACAAATATGCATAACGTCACAGTAAATTCTGCGAAGCGCTTTGAGACGTCTCGAAGACATGAAATGCACGGATTATTATTTTTTATTATTGTAGCAATGGAACTAGTTTACTTCATATTCATAATCATCCTTGCCTTTGACGTAGCGCCTTACAATCACGTCGCTGAGACGCCTCAAAGCGCTTTGCGGAATCAACGGTAAAGTGAATTAACTGCAGGTTCTGAGAAACAGAAACACGTCGAAAGCAACGGGAGTGTTTGAGAAACGATTTTATTTGCCGCTACGTTAAAAAAGAAGTACAGACAATTATGCAAACGTGTTCGATATCACCGTGACGCACGCCACTTTTTCAATAAAAANTAACCTTTGTAGCAAAAAGTAGTCAAAAATACAATTCTTCGGAGATAAATTAACAAAATAAATTAGTTGCGCAACGAACCCTCTATCGGCACTGGAGCAGTATCGTAACGGTTAACATTGACGTGCAGGGGAAAGTGCTCAGAGATCTAACCGATGATACAGTACAGATATTGGGTGTCGGTAAAGTGACAATAAATAGCTCAGACTCGCTGGAAACTGGTAGCTTTCAAAACCGGGAGAAGGGAAGGGGTTAAGGGCCGATGGGAATCGCAGCTCCACAGCCGGACGGGATGAGGGCGCAATTGTAACAGCGGTGAGATGCAGTCTATCCCTGAGATGAAGTGCCAATCCACGGTGCGGTGTCTGAGCCTTACACTCGCTCTTGTGCCGGGAAGTCACGACGTATAACAGCACACGCAAACGCACACGCACGGGTACACGCACAGACCCGACACCCACATGGAAGGCTGTAGGGGCATAAGACGGTAAAACAACAGATGCATTTGGGCATCGCCAGCATTGGAAGGTGCAGACGTATAAACAACAACTTGCGTTTATTGTAGCGCCCGTGTCGGAGAGCTTAACACGGAATGGGACTCTTGTGATGGGGGTGGAGTGGGGTGGGGCGGGGTGGGGTGTGGGGGGGGGCGGGGGGGTGCAAGGGCGTGGCTGTGGTCAGACATGAAACTGGCCTGGTAACAACTCAACACTACCGTGTTTATCCGTTTGCTCTCACGTTACAACTTCATTTGTATTTCCCGCTGCTCTGGTCTCGCGGCCTGGTCCGCCGAGCCATCTCCTCCGGCAGCGAAGCAAAGCAACCGACGTTTTCTCTGACTCAACCGTCATATCGGACCCCGGAGACGTGATGGGCCACGTCCCGCGCACAGGTCCACGCTCTGGGATTAGAGCCTGGAATCGACAGGGTGCTTTGCTCGCAGTGCCCGTTGAAAGATTACCACCGTCAGCGTAATGAGCCAACTCTCCAGCCAACCAAACCAACCACCCACAAACCAAACCAACTGACCGCAAACCCTGTAACCTAACCCTCCGACCAACACCGAACCAAACTAACCACTAACCAACCACTGCCCCCACCCAAAAAAAAAATGTCAACAATAAAACCTGAAGGTCTCGGACCTGATGATTCCAAACCGTGCACAGCGACATGCTTGAGACCCGCGCTGCGATAATAATAATAATAATAATAATAATAATCCTCGCATTTGATCCAGCGCTTTATAACGTCGTCGAGACGTCTCAAAGCACTTCACAGGAATATGCGGTAAAGTGGAGCGACTGTGTACTTTGTGGGCGAAACGCGGCAGCCGGTTGTGCACGGCAGAGACCCACAAACAGCCGAGCAACGGCCGACCAGATTACTATTGCTATGTATTATATTTACGGTTGTCGGTCGTGAGCCGATCGGGGAACAGCTCAACGGAATGGCTTTGGCGAAGTGGCGACTGATGTTGAGCTGGTTACGGAGGGCGCACAGTCCTTCCCGGCGTAACACTGGCAAGTGAATCTCTCCGACATGAACCGCAGGTCTTCGGGCGAGGCTTTGCCGACGGCCGAGAGTTTTCCGTTCCTCTTGCGACGGAGTCGGAAGCTGGTGGGGTTCAGGTGCAGGTAATCGCTCGCTCTCCAGTCCTTCCTCACGCATCTGCCCTTGTTCTTACACAGCGCCCGGCTGCACAGCCTTGCGGCCTGGGTCACGTTCAAGACGTACGGGCTCAACGTCTGGTTAACGTAGCTCTCCCACATGGCGCAGGAGTCCCTCTGCAGCAGCAGCAGCAGCAGCAACAACAACAACAACGACAACCAATTACATTTGCACAGCGCCTTTCACGTCCAGGAGGACGTCCCAAATCAGAGAGATTGTCTCCATGACGTACGACGGTTATTGCCGAGTATCGCAAAACAATACACAGTCAATTCACTTCACAGTATATTTTGTGAACCGCTTCGAGACATCTCACCGACGTGATAAGGCGCTATCTTCAAATGCAACGTATTATTATTAATATTATTATTATTACTGCAATGAACTACTTGATAACTTGAGCCCTGGCTTAACTTGTTACTATCGCTCTCAAGTCATCGCGTTGCCGATATCCCGGACGCATTTGTTCACGTGTATAACATATAGCTAAATCGCCGCTCCTGATAACCCGTCGCCGAACCCCTTTCCCTTGGGAGCGACGAGTTTACCATACGTTGGAAGCTCACTCATTGCAAACGGTGGCCGCGAGGAAAATGGCGTCGCGAAAAAACTTACGTCGATAAAGGAGTAAGAGCTCTCCCAAACTACGATCCCCGCTGAGCCGAGTGCCGCACTTTCACCGATGGTATTCACAAGGTCAACCTGAGGAGAGAAAAATACGTGTCACTCTCGTTCCCCAAAACTTGCCGTGAGAGCCAGTGCAGACGTGTTGCGCCAAACGGCCTCCTTTTTGCGCTGTAGAATGACTACGGTTCTACGATCACCTACGAGTGACGGTAAAATCCCGTGAAGGGCTTTGAGACGTCTCAACGACATGGCGAGGCGCTGCGTCAAACGCAATAGTTATTATTACGGGCAGCGTTCAACCCTCGGAAGCAGCCCTTTAGAAGGATGATGGGGCTTATTGTTCGGGCTGACAATGTTCATGGTTCCCGGAACGAGGTCTCATCGCGAGCAGCTCGTGTCGCGGGATCTTTACCGTCCGCCAGAACAGTTCCAACAACCGGCTTCGTGGAGCGCCTCGAGACGTCTCGGCGGGCGTGATAAGTCGCCACATCGTAATAATTAGTCCCGCTTTTTCTGATGACCACGATCTCGCCCTTACCTCCGCCAGCGTCTCATTGGTGGCATCGTGGTGCACGACCCTGGTGTAAGGGTACACGGGGAGGGCGTGTTGCCGTTTGGGGAGCGCACCCACCCTCATGGCTTCCTGGACCCGATGGCGCACAAACAGCCGGGCTTTGCGCGAGGACCTCAGCAGCCTGGACAGGTAGATGCTGGGGTAGAGGGCCGTGCTCTCCTCCCACAGCCACAGCAGGTCATCGTTCCGTGCCTGGGCCCGCCCCGGGCACCTCCCGGTGTAGGTCCTATTTCTCTTCTTGTGATCGTAGTTGTAACAGTCGGGGAACAGGTAAAAGCCCCACAGCTGGTTCGGCCTCATTCGTTTGCCCAGCCTCAGCGACTCGGTCAGAAACTCCTTGGCCGCCTCCTCGAATTCGACCTTGGCGATGCGGGAGGCCTCGACCGGGGTCAGCGACAGGTCCCTCTGCTGAACAAGCTCGACCGAGTGTCGCTGGTAGATGAGCTTGTGGTGCCAGTTCCTGTGCCACGAGGGCCTCCAGCTCTCCCAGTCAATGACGGCCAAGCCTCGCGACCGGTTCGACGGGATGAGCTGCTCGATGTCCCTCTCGGCTTTCCTCAGATGCTCCCGCACGGAGCTTTGCTGGGGCACGCCGCCGTGGAACTCCTGCCCCGTGAACTCGTGGTAGTGAGGGTAGTTGCCCAGCGCCCGGCTGTAGAAGATCCTGGTGTCCTGCTGCTCCGGAACCGTCCGGGTGGTGGACACCATGGGGAAGTGGGCCAGGTCGAAGGTCAGGCCGAATCTCCTGGTGCAGAGCTCCGAGGGCGCATTCCACACGGCGACGAACGGGACGTCTCGGCCGAGCGGCGGTTCCACCCTCGTCGGTCGCGGGTCGCCCAGGCAGAGCGGGCAGCTGGAGATGCCCCAGAGGATAAACGCCCAGTTCACGAGGCTTCCGTGTCTCCTCGGAGGTACCCGCCAATCCATCGCAACCACGGCTGTGTTTGGCCGGTCCCTGAAAGAACATAAGGTAAGAATTTGCCGGGCGAAAGGAGAACGAGGTCCATCCAGTTCGCCCTCCGCCCTCCTGGAAATTTATCTCACTTGTTCTTTCTGCTTCCACTGTCCCGTCTCCCTCAGGAGCCTGTTCCATACGTTTGCTGCTCACTCACTGAAGTTTCCACAGATTTGTTCTGAATCTACACCCCCCCCACCCCCACCATTGCACCCCCACCACTTCCCTTCAATCGCAGTCCCCAGAAGTGTTCAAAAAGGGGATGACCAGGTGTCCTGCATCCTATGGTCCCACAGTCCCCCCAAAAATTGGGTCACTCAATCCGCGACTGCTCACGGAAAGACCGCAGTGCGCAATTGGCTGCCGCGTTTCACCCGCAAAGCGGTCGCGCAATTCACCGGACTGTGTATCCTGCGAAGCGCTTTGAGACGTCTCAGCCCCACGATTGTTATTGTCAACGGCGGCAGTGTGGAGCTCTCGGACGTGGGTGAGAGAGCGCAGGCGTTGTGTGTGTTTATGCGGTTTGCCTAACCCAGCAATGCACAAATTCAGCCAAGCTCACGAGGCTGGGGGAAAGGAGAAGGGGTTGGGACCTGCGCCAGTAATATTGTGGTTGACCATGTTTAACTCATTGTGTCGGGTCCGGCTGGAAAAGGTACTTGTTATGATCGAAGCCCATCGTTTTCTGAACGGTCGATAGGAAGTCCGACAAGGATATATATACCAGTTACAGCTGAAACCCCCAAATTTCACCTAGCCATAGGACCGCTTTCGTCCTGAAAACAATATCATAGCTCGCTCAGAATTGAGCGATCTAACCCCGTCTCCCTTTCTCCTGTCCCCACCCCCGTCCCCTTGCTCGCTGATTAATCTTTACAGAAAGGGAGTCTTGCTCCCAGTTTTGCTCAAACCCGTAGCTGTTGAAATAACATCGTCCTCAGAAAATATGCTCTACTCTTGTCCTTTTGTTCGGTCCTCACGTCATATCAAAACGTACTCTTCTGAGTTTACTTTCTCAATCCCTTTTAGCATCTTGAATACCTCCATAAAGTCCCTTCTGATACATCTCTTTTCAAGACTAAAGAACATCATTGCTGCTCATACCCCTATCCTCCAACACTGCACTATGATAATATTTGCATTTGATACAGTGCCTCATCACGTCGTCGAGACGTCTCAAAGCGCTTCACAGAATATACAGTGAACGGATTGAGTATTTTGTGGGCGAAACGCAGGCAGCCAATTGCGCACAGCAGCGTCCCACAAACAGTCGTGGATCGAGCGACCGAATTATTGAGCTCAGATAACCTCCGAATTAGGAGCACTTGTAATGATACTACCAGATCAATAACGCTGGTTATAAACCACAACAGTTCAAACTGGGGACCTGTTGGGTCAAACAGCATCGATCGCTTTACGATCAGGTCACATTCGGGTAATATATTGTACATGTATGTTAAACATACAGTATATTGTACATATATAATAATACACATATAATGCTACATATTGTAGGTAGATTGTACCCAAATTTAACTGGCATTGGTCCATTCATCACAGCCTTTTTACAGAGTGTTTGGTGACTGAGGACCCAGAACAGTTCGGAGATTGAGCGCCAATCGATTCAGTGCTAACGATGCAAGCATTACCTTCCAACAGTTGTCTCCAAGTCGTCTCCACTTGAAAGTTTCCTTAGACCGCTTGCAGCTTTGCTGAACCTGCTTCAGGTTGCTGTGAGCATCAGTCGGGCTTACGGCCACCTATTTATACCAGGACAGAGGTGACGGCAGTCAGTAAACCACGGCAGTTGAATCGCTTCAATATGACGGGCGAGTGCTTATTAAATCAAACCCGCTAAAAGAAAAACCTGCGAACCATTAGTGGCATTGCCTGCGGTTGTTTTTTTTTCGCAAGATCAGACTCCTAAAATTACACCACATCACTTTGCATTTTTTTTAATATACAAACACACACACACACACACATATATTAGGAATGTTTATGAAATTCCCTGACGTTTTTACTCGGGCATTTATTTTTTTCGCGCACAGACACACACACACACATAGACTGACACACAGACAGGATGCAAAGTTTGCACAGCTGGGAAGTTCATTCATCTGACCCGTGGCTGAGGTTTCGACTGGAATTTTCCAGGTATCACAGAGTTCCGTAAAAATGACACCGTTGGTTTGGAAGGCAAAAGTGAAGTGGACAAAAACATTGATGTATTTTCTAAAATATATATATATATATATATATACTGTGTATTTTGTTTCGTTTGGTTGTCATTTTAAAAAAAACTTGGTACACTCGACCCTCCCATGCTTGTTCCTACTACATCTCTGTGTGTGTGTGGTGTGTGTGTGGAGGGGCAATGGGGAGGGGTATTAGCTAAGGTTCATAGAAGTCAATAGAAACTGAAGTTGGGGTTCAGTGACTTGATGTTTACATGGCACCCACACACTTCCCCAATGTCCTCAGAGCACGTGAAAGTCCGCTGTTAAAACCTACAATAAATGGACGTGTGCCAGATACTATTTGTGTACACGGTATAATAATAACTAATAATAACTTGCAGTTATACAGTGCCCCTCACCCAAGGTAGTGTCCCAGAGCGCTTTAATAATAATAAACATCCTTGTATTTGATACAGCGCCTTACCACATCGTTGAGACGTCTCAAAGCGCTTCACAGGATATGCTGTAAAGTAGTGTATGTCACGGGCAAAATCCTGCAGCCAATTTGCGCAGGACAATGGCCCACAAACAGCCACGGAGCGAGTGATCAATTTTATTTATTCGGGGGATTGTCGGACAGGATACCCGTCCAACGATCCCCCAACCAGCGCCACGGGATCTTTAACGTCCGCCTGAATGGGCAGACGGAACCCGGGTCTTACACCTCATCCGAAGGACGGTGCCTCCGGCAAAGTAGCGCTTCCCCCAACCCTGCACTGGAGTGTCGGTCGAGACGGTATCAAGGGATCATGAACCCACAGTACTCAGATTCTGTGTCGGTTTATTCTTTTAGATGAAATAAACATGGTTTCGCCGCGCGTTTTAAAAACAACCCGAAAAATAATAAAAATAAGCCTTGGGTTTGATACAGCGTCTTCTGACATCGTTGAAACAGCGCATAGCACTTGTATTTGTCGATTTATGCTTCACACAAACAGGATACACAACGGACGAATGTGTTCCTTCAGTTTACACAGAAGAGGTCATAAGTAAGTGACTCAGAACAGTCATTTGGAAGCTGGGTTTCTCTCTCCTCCGGTTCCTCCAGTGACTGCTCACCTCTGGACACAACATGCTGTTCAAACAACTGGCGTAACTTTTGACAGACGCAAGTTTGCATTTTTCTCGCGAAATGTCACAAGTTCTCTGCATTCCAGCCGCATCGGAGAAGTATTTATTGATGCTTTTCTGCCCGGCCAGATGGCCAGATGTTCATTTCTTCCAGATGTAGATTGCATCAACTTCCCACACTGTGAGGTCGCTGTTTGGGAATCAGCTTTTTCACCTCCAACGAGAGTGTTTTCTCTCTCTCTCTCTCACACACACCCACACACACACAGAAACACCAAGAAAAAAAACTCCAGAAGAACCAGATTGTTTTTCTAGCAGAAACACATTCCACAAAGCGCTCTCAACACCTTGAAGCGGCACAGCCCGTCCCAGTTTGAAGTGAGGGGATTATTATTCACATTATTGGCAACGCATGAGACAGAAGGTATCAATTAGGTGCCATGTGTGGGTTAATCCGAATTGCAGGAAACTTGTCTTCTTCTTTGCTCTGGGGAAAACTTTTGTTTTTAAAAGATAGCGAGTTTATACGTCATTAGACTTCGAATGGTTGCACATTTAACACCTTCCTTCCCGAGAGTCACTGTGTGCGCAAACTACAGTGAAACTCACAATAAGTCAGATCTGTATAACAACAACAACAACAGCAACAACAACAACAACAACAACAACGACATTGCATCCGTAGAGTGACTTTCAAATCAGGAGGATGTCCCAAGGCACTGGGACGTATAAATTGTGTAACCGTCTAAATCGTACAGCTGTCAAAGTCCAGTTCAAGAGTTTATATTCTATGCAAGTTTGACGTAACTCAGACTTTGCAAAAGCCATATTAAATGTTTTTTTTTGGTCAGCCGGGTATCGTGGAACCCCATCGCAGCGCTTAAGAGGATCCCAAACACATTGGAAATGTGTCACGGAATGGAACGCGCACTCTCTCACTGTGGGGATGCACCCGGCTTGCTTAATTCCGGAGAGCATTAGGCGCAGGTTGGCAACACATTCGGGGTAACTGTTGGAGTCTAACTGGCTAAAACCATGCAGCACTGTCTGGCAACCCTTCCCACTCTACCCGTTAGGGTTAACCACCTGTAACCCTGTGTGTTAAGCGGGTTTGCTTGGTTATCGCACCCTGAAATTGGTCACAGTGTCGACTCAAGGTGGCAATTGGCTCAGTGTTCGCTGCTTGGGGTGAGGTTTATTACACACCGAGTCTCTGCTCTGCTTCCGCTAAGCTCTAGTCTCACTCAAACCTTGTTAATTCCTCGCCCACCGAATGCACACTCAATTCGCTTTACAGTGTGTTCCTGTGAAGCGCTTTGAGATGTCTCGAAGACGTGATAAGGCTCTGCATCAATTGTAAGGATTATTATTATTGGGGTCAAATTATTGGGTGTGGGGGTGGGGGGTGGGAGAGGGTGGGGGGGTGGGCGAGGGACGGTGTGTGGACGGTAATGTCAGCTCCGGTTGGAAAGTCTGGTTAAAAGATGAACAGGAGGGAAATCATGCAAAAAAGTGTTCACCGCAGTACATCAAATAGTAAGCGGTTAACTGCAGGTCAGACCTGGTACTGAATAACTACAGCCATAAACGAGTCACAGGAGGAGAAACCTGTGCTGAGGGTAACCTGTACACTGCCAACGCTGGAAATAAAACACTTTATTTTTCTCACATCCTGGAGATTCTATAATTATCTCCAAATTTTCCCAGCAGTGGAATAATCACAATAATAGTAATAATAATATTGTTATTAATAATAATGATCCCTGCATTTTGATCACAACGCCTTTCACGTCCAGGTGGGCATTCCGAAGTGCTTCACAGGATATATTTGTGAACTGCAGTCAGTGGCTGTGTGTTTTGTGGACGAATTAATTCCAATTGCCTCAGACTTTACCGCCCAAACGTGGCCACGTCCGAGCCGTTAGCCCTCTCTTAACGTTTTTCCTGCGCTCGCGTTATTTATTAAGCTTGGAAGGGTGAAAAGATTTGCGAGGAAAACAATTCCTGATTCAACTCAGTCACCCTCTTGCGCAACCATCTCATTGAGGTCCGATCCTTTACGGGTTGCAACTCAAGCTTTTAAACAACCACCTGCACGACGCAGAGCCGGGGGGGGGGGGTGGGGGGGGTGGGGGGGAGGTGACCGCAGGCCCGGTCGAACAGGAAGGTCTTCAGGCGCGACTCGAAGATGGAGAAGGCAGTGGGCAAGGCCGAGGGATAGAGGGAGAGGGTTCCAGAGTTTCGGAGTGTTTCAAAACCTCGGCGGTAACCCCCAACGCCAGAGAAGCTTGTCTGGAGCTACACCCTAGGAGGCTGTGATTCTCCCTCTGCTGGAAACTCTCCACGACCTACATGAAACGTTGCTGCCTCTCTTATCCTTTTGTTTATCTTTTATTAATCCAGGCTGTTAGCTGGTGGTTAAGAGGCTGTCACGCAAATTTATGCCTTCGCACATAATATCCATTTGCTGTTTACGTCTCTGCCCCTGTCCGTGTTACTGTGAAGGAAGCAGATCATGCTCCAGTGACATGATGTTCCCTCATCCCGTCGCTGTCCTATTTTTCCAGCAAACACATTTTTCACTCTCGTACTTTGATGGTTTTCCAACCTGTTTTTCCAATGTAAGTGAGAGCAAAAGAAAGAAAGAGAGAGAGAGAGAGAGAGAGAGAGTTAGTTCCTTGGCTTTTCCATCCTCCTGTTTATTCCCCTCATTCTCCTTGCCGTTCCCTTCTGTTTGTCTGCGATTGCTGCCCATTTTCCTTCACTTGACCTTTTCTCTCATTTCCAGTTACACAGACTCTCCAACTCGTTCCCTCCTTCTCTCTCCACCCACAACTCTTCCTTCCCTCTCCTATCTTCAACTCCTCATTACCCCTCCACCCCCCCCCCCCCCCCACCCTCTCCCCCAATCCTGGGGGCTATCTCACAATAAATAATCCTTGAACTGAATGTGCTTTCAGCCACTACGCCCCGAAACTTTGGAACTCACTCCCTCAATCCCTCCGCCTTGCCCCTCTTCTCCTTTCCCCTTGTTCAGATCGTGCCCGAAGACTTTCCTCTTCGGTCAGAATTGCGTGAAAGAATGAGGCAACTGAGAAAGTGATAATATATTATATTTATTAATATATCATTGCCATACATTAGCATTCATCAGATAAATAACAACAGCCCGTATTTCGTGCTGGAGTGCAAAACACAAACCCATTAATTTATTACGTTATTATATATTTTGTATCTGAAAGTGAAAAAAAAAACAAAAAAACCTGCCCAGTTCCTGTAATTGTCTGTACAACGTGCATTCAGGAACCGCATTCGATGCATTTCTCTGACTTAAGGCAAATTGCAGGTGAATGGCTCAGTCAGGAATCGGGTTCAGTCTCTCCCACCCACCCACGCACACCACACGCACACGCACACGCACACACGCACACGCACACACGAGCCTGATGTTCGCCTCTGCCCTGAAACACACAGCCGTTGATTTTTTGTCGTTCGTTATAAGGACTTTCAGACCGGTTGCTTGCACGTGGTTTTACACACCACCCATAATACGACACCCCAGTACGGGAGAGTGCAGAACACGCCTCGGTGAGTCTTGAGAAAAAAATGAGCTTTGGTTCACCAGAAAGAATAAGTTAAAACCTGCTTCTTGGAACGCAAAGTGTTCCACCGTCAACCCCATTTCTTATACCAATTTTTAAAATTTTTGATATAGATATATATTTATATATAGATGTGTGTACGATCTGCCTATAAAACAGGCTCCCTGAACGCTCACTAGGTGAACAGACTGCTCGGTCAGATGCTGGAGTCTCAGAATTGGAAGATCCCTGGTTTGTGATGTGGCCTGTGCTGTATTCTCTGCAATGGGCAATAAGGACAGTAAAGGTGTTAAGGCATTCTGGAAGGTTGAGATCACATGGACTGAAAATGCCCCTTTCTTCCAAACCCTCTCTTACACCGTACGAGCTTGTTTTAACCGAGGCTCAACATTGGTGCCTTTGGGCTTGGAGGCTTTAGGGGGTGGGGTTCAGGTTGGGGTTGGGGTTTTGGGGGGAAATTATCCAGGGTTTCACTTGTGATCATGTTCCAGTCTTTATGGATATGGTGGTGGTGATAGTGATGGTGGAGGGGGAGGGATTGGTGGGGGTTCTTGGTTAAGCGAGGACAAGATCAGATTTGCCAGCGATACCTCCCGTTTGCTCTACTCACGAAGCTCTGTGACACCCAATATCTAGACTTACACAGGAAGAACGGACACTTGGAAGAGTGATTTTACTGCTCGCCCCCTTGTGAGTCAACACCCTTAGGAGCGGAGTGTGTGTGTGTCTGTGTGTGTGCATGTAGTGGTGGGGAGGGGGGAAATATTAAATGCCATACTGCCACCATTGATAGACTTTCCCGTTAGTAAACAATGCTGGGCAGCACTGGTCAGGCAGACATCTTCTTCAGAGATATGGTCGGGTTAGTTGATTGCTTGTTAACAGAAGGTGACTTGGAGATAGATGGCTTCTTCCCCCCACTCCCTCCCTCCCTCCTCACCGGACAGTCACTGTGCCAGCCTTAAAGACGGCTGACCCCACACTGTGGTGGACCTCAGCCTATGTGGTGAGGATATGGTGGCCATCCTTAAAGTTGGCACAGAGGCTGTCCCCCACCTTAAAGCCGGTTGACTATTCAGCTCCCCACCCCAACCACCCTCCCCCACCACCACCCGCTGCCTACGACAGCAAAGTCCACAGTCCAGTAATAATCTGTACGTTTGATACAACGCCTTTCACGTCCCAGAGAACTTTGTGGGATTTACCGTGAATTCACTTTCCACAGGATTTACTTTCGCCCACAAAACGCACAGACAACTCACTCGACAGTATCAATGACGTGATAAGGCGCTGTGTGAAATGCAAGTGAAGTTACTGCTGTGTGCATTTTGAGGTCAAATGCGTTGACTTCGGTCTCTCTCTTTGGCAAGACTGTAGGTCAGGAGTCAGACAACTTCCTAATCTTCCTGAACACTCCCCACTAACCCACCACAAAGTTCTAGGTCTGGCTCTCCCACAGAGAGAAGAGGGAGGCTAACAGCAATGGGACAGGGGGCGTTGGGTGGGTGGGTGGGTGGGTGGGTGGGCGGAGGGGAGAAGGGAACAGTTTGTTTGGGGAGCGAAGAGGAGGGAGAGAGCGAGAGGAATGTGTGGGAACATTCTTTTATATATATATATATATACACACGAAAAACACACACTATTAGTGTAATAGTGTGTACTTTTACGTGCGTTAAATTAGACAGAGAGGAAATCATTTCAATGCTCTTGATTTGTGTAAGAAAAACATATAAACCATCTATTTTTTTTAAAAAATAAGAAAAAAACGCAACTTTTAACTAACAAATCCCGTCCGCGCACATCGCTGGCCCTTTTCACATTGCAAAATGTTGTGCTAGATTGCCTTCAGAGGAACGAGGTGCAATGGGAACAAGGCAGGGAGGTTGTGCTCTGGGAGGTGGGAGGGAGGTGGGGGGGGGGGGAGTGGGGGTTGGGAGGGGGGGAACGGGGCGGTGGGTGGTGGCGGAGATGGTTCTCTGCTTGGGAGGGGGTTCCACGCTCAGCACGATCCCCCTCCCCCAACGCCCCCACCATGATAGGCTGGTGATGCGATCACGGCACTGTTATTTGTGGGGGTGGGGGGAAAGCCTACGGCCACTTAGAGGGAGGAGGAGAGGGAATTGAGTCGTGACTCGGAAAACAACCGCGCGCACTGCGCAAGCGATCGGCATGCGTATGTGCGGGCCACGCACGCTTGTGCATGAGCTTTGGTGCACGTCCCATACACGCGCGTCCGTGCATGTGCAGTGCAATGCGCACCGTCATTGATTGATTGATAGATCAAGTGATTGGTTGGTTGGTTGACTGATTGATTGATTGATTATTTCATTCATTCGCGATTCGGTTACTTGCCCCTTTTGCCGCCGGATTGGGTTGGACTGCGCCCCGCAGTGTAAACGAGGGCAGAACCCCGACACCAGCGGTCATCAGTCTGCCTCAGAATCGACTCCGGTTAGAAACCGGTTCTGGAGGAAGCCTGCGGTCGGAGTGAGCGGATGGGGGGGGCTCAGACCCCGGTAACACATCGTTTCCCAATACGCTTTCCCATGCGGTTGTGTTTTTTTTTTGGTTTGTTCCTAAAGCTCTCGTGTGGCTCCGCGATGCAAAGCAATTGTTCCTCGGCATCTTTGGTCCCTCGGAATCCGTTCATAAAGCCGTGTGGTCACCCACGTTGTGGTCAAACATTGTCCCAAACATGACCTACGCAAAGGCGAGAGAGAGAGGGTGAGTATGAGAGAGTCACACACTTTCGAGCAAAATCCTGTGAAGCGCTTTGAGACGGGAGGAAGCAGGCAAATAAGGAAAAGAAGGGGGTCGAGGATGGAGCCTTGGGGTACCCCACAGGTGACCAGGTGGTGGTGGGGGTAGGGGTGGGTGAGGGCGGAAGGAAAGAAACGTTTGCAGAGACGAAGAGATGCCGGTCGCGTTAAGTGCGGCTTGAACCAGAGGAGTGTGGGACGTGAACCTCATTGTTTTGCCAGTCGCCCGTTTCTACACTGGCAGGTCTCGGTGTGTATAAAGGGGCCACGGATCCTTCAAACGGTCCAGATTTGGCTCCGAGCGATATTTGGGTTGGAAAGGCTTGCGGTCGACCTGCCTTAAATTTGAAACTGACGCCTCGCTAAGTCAGCCAGGCTCCCCCTGGAGCAGGAAATCGTATTCCGTGGCTTAATTAAAAAACATATTGGCCCATTTCCCTATTTAACCACAGGTGCCAAAAGCTATTGTTATCTCCTGAGATGTGTATTATGTCTGTGTGTGTGTGTGTGTGTGTGTGTCTGAGTGTGTATATTTAGATTTGTTTGTGTCTCTGTTGTGCATGTGTGTGTGCGTGGGTTTTGTATGTGTGTATTGTCTGGTGTGTGTGTGTGTGTGTGCATATTGTACGTATGTATTGTCTGTGTGTGTGTGCGTATTGTACGTGTGTATTGTCTGTGTGCGTGTGTTTGTGTGTGTGCGCGTATTGTATGTGTGTATTGGCTGTGTGCATGTGTGTGTGTGTGCGTATTGTATGTGTGTATTGTCTGTGTGTGTCTGTGTGAGCGCGCGCGCGTGCATGTGTGTGATTATTGTGTATGTGTATAAGACTTTGTGTGTCTGCGGCTGTGCAACGAATGGAGCTACGCAGAGACAGCGGGGATGGGAACATAGGAACAGAAGGAGGCCATTCAGCCATTCGAGCCTGTTCCGCCATTCTATGAGATCATGGCTGATCTGTACCTCAACTCCCAATTACCTGCCTTTGCCCCATATCCCTTGATAGCCTGACTATCAATAATCAATCCATCTCAGTCTAGAAAAATGTAATTGATCAACATCTACAGCCTTTTGTGGGGGTGCGGGGGGAGGGAGAGGGTGGGGGTGGGGGAGAGAGGGTGGGGGTGGGGGAGAGACAGATTTTCACTGCCCCTTTGCTTGACAAAATGCAATGAATGGGGAATATGGAGGAAGGTACCACTGGCTTTCTCTGTACATTCAGGGAACATTGATTCAGATCAGGGCCACACAAACACCTCCAGTGCACCTCACCTGTTCCAAATCTTGATCATCGTTATTTTCTTCGCTCGATACCTCGTCGTTCATGAAGATCTCAGTGGTACCAGGAGCCTGTAGGATGTCAGGCAGAGAGAGAGAGAGAGAGAGGGAAGGAAAAAAAATGGCAGATTTTTAGTGGGGATAACTGACCGGGAACTGACTGGGAAGATCAGACAAAGCGTTGTGGACTTTACTTGCGCTTTTCATTCACCTTGCGTGCGTCACGTGGATCGAACCAGTCGATAAACCTGCGACACGTAGCAATGAATGCTATCCTGTGTCCAGCCACCGCTACAGGTCTGCAAATCTGTCTCACACTTGCCCCCCCCAACTCCCTCCCCACTTTCCAATCCTGCCTAAAGACTTTCCTTTTCGATCGATCGTGCTTAGGGGGGCGGTCACCTCCCCCCTCCCTCCCTCCCTCCCTCCCTCCCTTTCTCCTCTTCCAACGCTTTTGTTCAACATTCCCTTAAAAGTTCAAAGCCCCTTTTCTGCAAGTTCTTCTGAGAGAACTTCTAACAAGTTTCTCAAAGGAAACTTGACTTCAAAGTTAAGAGTGAATTGAACCTCGTCTGCCAAATCCTAAAACGCTACAGAAATAATAAGATAAACCCAGACCTGGGTGGGATTTGCCTCCTCGGCATTTTGTGTCTTGGGCGGTTAATCTTCTCAAATCCGGGTCATTTGGGTAATTTCCTTACAAAATAGTTATTACATTTTATTTGTTCAGGTGAAAGGCATAATATATCCTCTCTCTACCCAAAAACAACACCTTCTCTAGAGAGACGGTTGAAGCAGGAAATGTTGATTCCTTCAAACGCAGATTAGATGAGTTTTCTTCTAGGAAATAACATTATGGGATGTAGGACATAGGCTGTTCAGGACATATGTGCATGCGAACTAGATGGACCTTGGTCTGTTTTTCTTGTCCAGCATTTTTTATGCTCTCTGAAGTAGGAAGTAGGATCGGAACGGTTTGCTTTTACCTTGTCGTTGCCTGTTTCCTGTTCCCCTTCGTTCGCCTTCACCATCGCGTAGAGGACGGCATCGTGCACAGAGAGGAACAGACAGCTGCGATCCAGCCCCCCCTCGTCAAACATCCCGCCGATCTCGATGTCCTCATACACTTGAGCTGCAGTGGCAAGAAACAGCGACGATTAAAAAGGAAGGTCTTTAGGCAGGATTTTAAGGTGGGGAGGGAGGGGGCAAGGCTGGCGGAGCAATTGAGGGAGAGAGTACCAGCGCTTCGGGGCATAGTGGCTGAAGGCACGGCCACCGATGATGAAGCAGAGGGAACGAGGGACAAACAGGAGGCCGGAGCCAGCTGAGCGGGGGCCACAGATGGTGGAGTTGGGGGGTGGGGGGGGGGTAAAAAAACACATTCTTTGAATGTTTAAAGAAGGACATTTAAACGGGGGATCAGTCGGTAGCCCTCTCTCCGCCATTGAGTTATTAATAATAATAATAATAACAATCCTTGCATTTGATATAGCGCCTTATAACCAAGTAGCCACGTATTATTTCACCAGTGGTTTAACTAACGTTCCTCGTCAGTTCTGCAGTGTTAATATGATCAAAGAAAGAGGAACTCACCTTGCACGCTCGCCAGGTAAATATTCACACCAATCTTCTTAAAGTTCGAGCACATCTGCACAAAGAAACAACACGAAAGAAGCAGATTAGATTCTGGAAAAAAAACACATGAACTTGACATGGATGATCTGACGAGTCCACGTGCGTGTGTGTGTTACCCTGTGTGTGGGTGTGTCTCCGTGTTTATCTCCCTGTCTCTCCACGTGTGTGTTTCCTTGTGTGTGTGTGTGTGTGTCTCCGTGTTTATCTCCCTGTCTCTCCACGTGTGTGTGTGTGTGTGTGTCTCCCTGTGTGTCTCCCTGTGTGTGACTGGCTGTGTGTGATGGTCTCAGAGTTTTGGGATGTCCTTCCGACATGAAAGGCACTATGCAAATGTAATTTATTCTTGTTGTCCTTTCTTGTTGCCTGTCTGTCTTTCAGCTCATGTCTCTTCCTTTCTCCTCTGTATATAGGGTTATTTCTCCTATGGTAGATTGAGATTTAAATTGACCGCCTTGCCTTCCCCAGCACTTTGATGCCCATGAGATCCACAAAACACACTCCGCTCAGGTCCAGGATCAGAGTGTGAACGTCAATGATGGGAGGTGCCATCTGGAGCGGATCCTCAGAGCCTTGCAGCCGTACAGAGGACTTCTGTGTGTGCTCGTTTAACCCATTGGGTGCGTTGACTGTAATGTAGGATATTCTGGGGTTCTCAGACCCTCCATTGTTATTACAGTCCATGGATGCATCTGCTTCCACCTCTTTCACCAGCTCCTGCATGGACACTTGCTGTATAGACAGAAAAAAACTGGTTAAGAAAGAGCTGGCTTTAACAATACTAACACTACTGATCCTTGAATTTGATACAGCGTCTTATCACGTCATTGAGACGTCTCAAAGCGCTTCACAGAACGTACGGTAAAGTGGATCGACTATGTATTTTGTGAGCCAAACGTGGCAGCCAATTGCGCACAGTAGTGTCCCACAAACAGTTGTGGATTGAGGTGACCAAATTATTATTATTATTATTTTTTTTGAAGAGATTATTACCCCCAGAAAGCGATCCGCCGCCAATCGACTAACAAGCGGGTTCCTACTTACTGCTAAGTAAACAGAGGCGTGTGTGTGGAGTAAGGAAAATTGGCTAAGGTTTCTCCTCGTCCGGGAGCTATGTCAAATGTAAGGACCATTATTATTATTATTATTATTATTATTATTATTATTATTATCCTCCTCCAGCAGCAGGAATATAGAGGCACAAAATTCTATTTGGTCTTCGTAAGACTAATTTCGTGGAATGCAAGATCACACAAGAGGGTGGAAAATTCTTCCATTCAGTCTTTACGTGGAGCACAGCCAACAAAGTGATTGACCAACTTTATCGGAAGTGTGAGAAAGTTAGGAGTGGAATGGGTGTGCATGTGAGTGGGTGAGGAAAGGAAGTTTTTTGAAACTTAAGGTTAAAACCACCTCAGCCCAAATTGCCTAAGATGTTGAAAGTGACCTCATACGTCACTCATGCCAACAGTTGCTAAATTGGGAATTTTCTGCTCTTTGCTGTGGGCAAGTCTGGAATTTTGTGTTGACAATCTCACAAACCTTGTTGAAATGATTATTCGGTTTCCGGCCATTAACCTCTTGCTCCTCCTTCTTCGCTTCCTTGAGGTACTTTTTCTTGGCCAGCAAAATCTTCACGGGGTCAATTCCTGACTGTAACAAGAACATTTCCTCATTAAACCCTCGGCAGGAGGGCACTTTGCTTGCTCATCTCAGAAAGTACCCTGGCAAGTGCTGAGGTTCTTTGGAGGGTGAAATGTGAGTCACTAAAGTGTGTGGTATGTTTGGTGGGTGGATTAGTACATGTAGGGTATATGCATGTGCGTGTGTGTGCAGGTCTGTTAGGAAATTCAGGACCTTGAAGGGCAGCCCAGTCACTAGGGTCAAGAACTCTTCTAGATCAGCGCCTTAATCCCGTAAGACAAAGCCCGAACGGTCCGAGCTGGGCAAGCAGCGGGAAAGCTTGCCAGCCAATGCTCTCAACGGCAAGCTACGCAGCTTTAGTTGGTTGGACTCCAACAGTTACCCCAAAGCACACTCTGGAGTCCCCCAAAGCCTTGGCTTACAGAGTAACGTGAACGTGAAAGGTTGGCGCTGCAGTCTACCGGCAAATTTTGTTTATATGTGAACTGCAGCAGATTTATGCATTGAAACATAAAGGAGGTCATTTTACCTTTTTAATGACTTTCTGTCTGAAAATGTCCACGTTTGCAAAGTACAGCGGAGAACAGTAAGTCACTATCTTTATTCCACTGATTTCTTTTGCCTGGAAGAGGAACGCAAGGTTAACAACACGTCAACAACAACTTGCCTTTACACATAAGGCCTTCTCTCAGAGTCACGTCTTGGAGCTCTTTACCCCCCCACCCCGCCCCTCAAACCGAAAGGGAACAGAGCTCCTTGTGAAGTTCCTTGAGGTGTTTCACCGTGAGAATGAGACACCATAAATGCGGATGCCACTCTTTCTTCTTCGTTGTTCCTCTCTTTCTCTTGAATAACGATCTTACCTTTTCATAGACCTTGGGGTTTTTGTAAATGTTGCTGTCGCCAACTTGTGCAATCAGAGAGCCGTTCCGACTGGAAAAAACGGGTGAAAGGGAGAGAGAGAGAGAGAGAGAGAGGTCAGGAAAGAGGGATTCTCCCCTGTGTGCTTTACGTTAACCAGATCAGCAACACAATCCCACCTTCTGCTTATACAATAAAGTCCTGTAGCTCAGTGGTTAGACACTCGCTTTGCAAGCGAGAGACCTGAGTTCAATTCCAGGCAGAGGGCGAAACCTTGGGCAAGTTTCCTTACTCCACACAGAGCCTAATAATAATCCCTCCAAAACCAAAAACAATAATAAATTGGTCATTTTCAATCTACGACTGTTTGTGGGACATTGCTGTGCGCAATTGGCTGCCGCGTTCGCCCACAAATATACAGTCAATTCACCTTACAGTATATTCCTAGAAGATGTGAAAAGCGCTATATCAAATGCAAGGATTATTATTATTATTATTATAAATCCTGATAACTCATCACTCCGAAGGGAAAAGGACTCGGTGACGAGTTATCAGGAGTGGCGAGTTAGGCAGATGTATAAATACATAAATAAATGTGGCCGGGTTATTGACAGCACGATGACTTAAACGGTAGCGATAAATTAATCCAGGGTTGAGTTATTCGGAGTCTACTGTATTTGTCTGCGCGTGCGTGAGTTTGCGTGTGTTTACCTGCGTGATTTGTGTCTGTGCCCACGTTCAGGTGGTGCGTGTTACACTTGTAGATGCACGTGTGTTTGTGTACGTGCGCGGGTGTGTGTTTGTGAGTCTGCACGTATGTGCGTGTGGCTTTACGGCGTTGGAACAAATGTGGAGCACAATAGGGATGACGCTGCAGTGTTGTTGTTAAGAAGCTTTGCGGCTTTGAGAGACTAAGAGATCACTTCAGTTTGTTAGCGGCGGTGGGGGGGGGGAAAGGGGAAGCGAAGCTAGGGATTGACTTGGGGGTGGGGTGGTGGGGGGGGGGGGGAGAAGGTGGGGGGGAGAAGGGGGGAGGTGACCGCAAGTACTGTCAAAGAGGTATTAGGTAATTAAAGACAACCAGAGTGGGGGGGGGGGGGGGGGGTTGGGGGGAGTTCCAGAGAGCAGCTAAAAGCAGCCGAGCAATACAGACAGAACGATACAGACAGACACAGTCAGTGTGGTTGTCTGAGCGTCTGGCTCAGAGATAAACACCTTCACTGTAATAACTGGGGCGAGGAGGAGGAAGTTAATAACCTTACAACAACAACAACAACAAGGTTGCATTTATAGAGCGCCTTTCACGTCGGGAGGACATCCCAAGGCGCTGGACAGTTGGGTCGGGACCCGAGCAGTGGGGGAAATGGTCAGGGTGTGGAGAGGGAAGGGAGGGGGCGAGGAGGGGGTAGAGAGTCGAGAGGGGAGCTGAAGGCGCGGTTGAAGACGGTTACTCCGTCAATCCGTCACAAAGCCAGCCCAAAGCTCCCGAATTAGGTTTTCCTGTTCACCCACCCATCCCTCCTCCCCACACCACCGCACCCCCCCCCCCCCATCACACCACACCACAACCCCCCCCCATCCCACGATTTTTCAAATAACGATATTCCTCCCTCCCTATTTACGTACAGGATGTAACTTCCTTAACTTATCTCCTACCCTCCACCTCCCAGACACACACACTCACACACACGCGCGTGGCTTCCCAATACAGTCTATTTCTAACAAGTACAGTTTTCCTGCGATTGTTCACAAGTTAAGTAAATAGCGAATAGGAAAATCGACTGGAACAGGGATAATAATAATAATAATAATAATAATCCTTGCATTTGGTATAGCGCCTTATCACGTTTTCGAGACGTGATAGACCTTGTTTTATCCTGAAAAGGAATCCTTTCAAACGCCTCTGAATTCGCTTTGGCTGACTGGTGATATTTGTTTTTAATTCAAACTCTTACTGTAAGTGAATCAAAGAGCTGGTTCGAAAAATAAAAAACAGCCCGATCCCCAAAAAAGAAACGCCTGTTTTGGTGAGAAGTCATCCCAGCAACAAGTTCTGAGAGGCCGAAGGGATGAGGAGGCGGGGGAACGAAAGCCACCAGCGAAGTGGCCAGGATTCCCACAGCCTCTGAAGTCTCATTTGAAGTTTGTTTTTATGGAACATGAAAGCCGGTTTACTTATGTATTAAACCGTTAATTCCATCTCCTTCAGTAACACTGGGTCACCGAGTGGTCAGAAACCTATGTACCCGAGGAGCAATCTCTCTCTGTATCTCTCTTCATTCATCTCTTTCTCTCTCTCTCTACATTTCTCTCTCTTTATCGCTCTCTCTTTATCGCTCTCTTTATCTCTCTTTATGCATTTCTCTTTGTCTCTCATTGTTTCTCTTTCTGTTTCTTTGGATCTCTCTATTCTCTTTATCTCTATGTGTCTCTCCATCTTTTTCTCTCTCTCTCTTCTCTCTCTATACATATTACAGTTAACCCAATTTTATTCTTTCTCTGTGTTGTGTTTCGGGGATAAGGGGTGGGGGGAAGATAGGTAAATGGGACTGAATGGAACGCTCTTCTAAAACGTCCGATTCCTCCCTCCCCTATCTACGTACGTAATTTCTTCTGTGCCATAAGATTTCTACGGGTTCGAAAGAAAATGAATACAGAACCGGCCTTTGCGCTAAAAAAGAGCTCAATGAACGTCTCCGAGTGCGAGTGAATGTTCACGCCAAACTCTTGCTGCTGCGTCTTGCCCGCAAAATACACACCTAACGCCACTTTACGTATACCTTGTGAAGCGCTTTGAGACGTCTGAACGGCGTGATAAGGCGCTGTATCAAATGCAAGGGTTATTACAGAAACAGGAGGAGGTCATTCAGCCCCTGGAGCCTGTTCCGCCATTCTATAAGATCATGGGTGATCTGTACCTCAACTCCGATTACCCCCCCCCCCCTTGCCCCATATCCCTTAATACCCTGACCTGACAAATAGCTGTCCACCTCAGTCTTGAAAACGTGAATGGATTATTATTATCATCATTATTGTCATCATTCTTCTTATTAATTATTATTATTGAGCCCGAAACAACGGTACTCACAACTGCGTCTGGAAAACCACCACCAGCGCCGAGAATCCGACGCCCACAGCCACCCCGTAAGGCAGGCCCAGGAGAAATGCGGAGAAGAAGCTCACCAGCCACACACACTGCGGGAACAACGGGAAAGATGTTCGGCTTTGGCTGGAGCCGGGCAGGCTCTTTTCGCCGCAAAGGCGTTACGTGGCTCGTTCGGAATAAGTGGACAAACGCTGACGTGTTACGCTAAACAGCTGCTCCCCTGACATCGGGTCAAAATAGACAAACGTTCCCGAGCCGGAGACGCTGCTCTCTGCTGGCGCTCGGTCATGTGGGGTTTTTTTTTTCTCTGCTTTTGTGAATGGTTTGGCCTCTCTTCCCCCCACCCCCCACTCCCCAGACCCCTACCCCCTCACTCCCCCCACCCCCCGCACACACACACACACACAACAACAACAACAAATTACGTTTGTATAGCGTCGTTCACTTCACGTCGGGAGGACGTCCCAACGTGAAAGGCAGCCCGGACGCCCAACGTACGCCACCTTTCGCCCACAAAATACACAGTCACTCCACCTTACAGCATATCCCATGTGAAGCGCTTTGAGTGCGTGAGCTCAAAGTCCTGACGTGGGGGCTCGAACCCACGTGAGAGTGAGGAGCGAGAGGGCTAGCGACTGGGTTCACTTTCCTTCTGCGGCAGGGGAGCTTTACTGGTGCTACAGCGACGACAGCAACAACTTGCATTTACACAGAGCCCTTCACGCGGTGGGGGAGGGTGGGGGGTGGGGGGGTAGTGTCTCGGAGCGATGCAGCTAACATGTTTGCGAAGCCTTACTCACGCAGTCCAGCTTGCTTTTCTTCCACAGGTAGTAAGGATCTGTCATCTGCATCAAGGTGTTTTTCAGGTTGACGGCTATGAGCGCCCCAACACGGACTAGAAATGGGGGGAGGGAAGGAGAGATGTGTCGGGGGGGGAGGGGGTGGGGCGTGGGTGGGTGGGGGGGCGAGAGGAGAGGAGAGGAAAAAGCAGCACAACTGTTCACTGCGAGATTTACCGGAAAACAAAAGCAATAATTCACGATGATAATTGCAATTAGAAGTGGTTCGTTGTGTTCAGTACAAGTTGTTTCACTGTATTTAGACATCCAGAGGATCAGTGTGTGCGCGTGTGTGTGCGCGCGTGTGTGTGTGCGCGCGTGTGTGCGTATGTATGTGAGTGCGTACGTGTGAGTGTGTGAGCGCCATCATTTTCGTGGTAGATAGTAATCCGTCGCCATGTTCTGTGTCACATCTTCCATGAGATGGACGGAGTGAGTCTGTTTTGTAACAGGTTGGTATGAGGACTTTGAGGAGCTCCTTTCCTTCACTGGAGACTCTCTCTCTCTCTCTCCTCCCATCGTTGAATGTTTCACAGCTCCATTAAGAACATGCCCCTCTCCCCAACTCCTTTCCACTCGCGCCCCACTTGCCTGCCTTCTTCAAGGCAAGTCTCGAGACCCTTTTCTTCGACCGCGCCTTCGGTCACCCTCCTAACCTCCTTTGCCCCAGTTACCCGCAGCTCGGGTCCAAATCCCTGACTGTCCAGAGTCTTGGGACGTCCTCGCGACGTGAAAGGCGCTGGACAAATGTAATTTTGTATTGTGTTGCATGACCGATCAAGACAGGCTCTTTGCACTAAGTTGTTGTACGGGTGAATAGATGTGTCTGGGCTCTTACCTTAGGGAGAGGAAGCAGGTAAACTCCAAGAACCATGAGCACCACAAATACGAGGATCATTACACACAGACTCGCTATCTGCAAACGAGAGAGACGGCACTTCATTCAGTTCATCCACCGACACGCAGAGGAGTTTCACTTTGTAACCCGTTACCGCCGGTGGGTGACCTTTAAAAGGATCTGATCAATATATTGCCAATACATGTGTGTGGTCTTAATCTTCCCAGACCAATTTGTACACAAGCAACGAAGGCCTAACTAACCAGAAATCCTGTGTTAAGACATCTGTGATTCACTGCTGACTAATTGGTGAATATCTATTTAATTTATATATTTTTTTGGGTGTGGGGGTCAGTCAGCCGGGTGTCTGACACACGTGGAAGCCCATCGCTGTTGCTTAGGAGCATCCAAACCAAACCGAGAATTCCAGGCGTCCCACCCACAAGCGGAGATTCCCAGAGATGGATTGTTGGGACGGAATGCATTCAATACCTAAAAACCCAATTCAATACCTAAGAAAACACCTACAAAACACCATTATTTCTGGATTGCGTTCAATGGTGTTCCATTATCAGTCTACTATTGACCAAAATAGTGATATCTGGAGGTGCAAGTTGGTGCGATTGCCTGGTTTGAGGGGAGGGAGGAGGGGGGGTGTAGGGTAATTGACATTTACACAGCAGCGGTTTACGTGTACAGAACTTTGTTTAAGTTCTGGAATAGAAATCTTTAAGATCCTGTTGTTTCTCCCGTTATCCTCCCCTTCCCTCCTCCTCCTCCTCCTCCTCCTCCACTCCCCAGGGGAAGCGCCTATCAAACATTCCAGCTGCGCCCTAGTCTTCAGCCGTGAGCGCCTGAGGGATGAGTAACCTGATTGAAGCGGCGTGCGATCAGTCACACGTTACCTGCGAGGTTCCACCACTCCCTTCCACAGCCAACGTAACTGACAGAGCGCAGCAGATAACGTGGATGTTGAAGAACCCGCCAAAGAGGTTGCTGCAGCCCAGAGCCAACATTTCCTGGAATACCGAGGAGCAGGGGAAAACCATTAATAATAATAATAATAGTAATAACAATCCTCTCATTCGATACTGCGCCTTATCACGTCCTTGAGACGCCTCAAAGCGCTTCACAGGGTATATTGTAAAGTGGATAAGTTGTATATTGTGGGCGAAACGCAGCAGCTAATTGCGCACAGCAGCGTCCCCACAAACCGTCGTGGATTAAGCGACCAAATTAATATTAGTAGTAGTATTTTTTTGAAGGAATTATTACCCCCCACCGGAAAAACGATTCGCCAATCGACTACCAACCGCGTTCCTACTTACTGTTAGGTAAACAGAGTCGTGCGGAGGAAGGAAACTTGACCAACGTTTCGCCCTGCCCGGGAATCGAACCCAGGTCTCTCGCTTGCGAGGCCAGTGCTCCAAACACTGAGCTACAGGCCTCCACAAGGACCAAATTGGGGTCTCCCTGTCGAGAGCTTGCCCGCTGGCAACCGCGTACCTGGTTGGCGCTGATATCGTAGCCGTGTTTGGCGGACAGGGTCCTCCCCATGGCCAGGTTGATGACGTAACCAACGATGGCCAGGGAGAAGGCCGATCCGATCATGTTTGACCAGAAGCCGACCTGCGGGAGGGTCGGAGCGGGTAACCTGCCAGAAAAGAGACGGAAAAGAGATGTCAGCGCTGAGCCATTGGCTGACTCAAACACAATAACAATAATAATAGTCCTTGCATTTGACACGGCGCCTTATTATCACGTCAATGCGCTGGTCAGGATTCACCGTGTATTTATTCTAGGCCAGTGCCGCAGCCGATTTGCACACAGCGACGTCCCACAAAACAGGAGTGAGGTGAGTGACCGGTTTTATCCGGGAGATTGTCAACCAGGAACACCGGGAGAGAAACTTTCTACTCTTACGTGAATAGCGCCGCAGGATCTGTGACGATCACCTGAACAGGCGCAGAAGGGACCACGGTTTTAACGTCTCATCCAAAGGACGGCACCTCCTTCTTGATGCCTCTCATCCCATCCACTCCGCGCGCCCCCCCCTCCCCCACAACCCTCTTCAGCTCCCCCCGCGATTGACTGTGAAGTGTAGTGACTGTGTATTCGTAGGCAAAACGATCGTGAACGCTCAAATGCTGGAGAAAATGGCTCCCGCGCCCTGACCTCACTCACCCCAGAGGAATGTGTCCAACCACACTGATGTCATATTTTTCTGGGAAGTTCAGACACCCTGAGATTGCAGTAGCAATAATGACCTGGAAACAGAAAGGAAACGTTATTGAGTTCGAAATCCTGGCGCATCGAAGAGAAGATCGTTCCTCAGTCCCAACATTTTCTTTTGTCCATTCCCGAAGGAGATTGATCGTTCACATGTCCGAGTTTCGGCCCTCCCTCCAGCCCTCAGTCCGCGAGATCATTTTTCCACTAAAATTTAAGACCCCCGGAAAACTCTTCATTCGGAAGAGAGTCTTTCCCGCAGGTCTTCGAGCAATACTGGTTTCCAAGATTAAGACCAAACCGATTTTCCCCAATTCTAAGTGACGTTAAAAATGGAAGACTTAAAGGGTTTAAGACCAAGTGGAATTTCAAAAACATCTTAAAGGTGATTCATAAGGTGAAGAGGATTGTCCAATCTTATTTGTGTAGGGATTGTCGGCCAGGACACCGAGAGAGGAAATCCCTTCCCTTTTCACAATAGCGCCACGGGATCTTTAACGTCCACCTGACCAGGCGCAGGCACAGACGGGTCATCGGTTTAACGTCTCATCCGAAGGACGGCACCTCCGACAACGCAATGCTCCCCCACATAGCACTGGAGTGCAAGTCCAGTCTAGGACTTGAGGTCCTGACAAGTAATTACAGTAATTGTCCGTCGTCACGAGCGACTTAAGAGTCAACAGCAGCTGCACTTACTACGAAGATTTCTGTGGGGATGGGGAAGGGAAGCTTGTGTTTGAACCTGACGTTCATCTCCTTTACGAAGAAGAGCACCACGCAGCTGATCAGGGCGAATATCAGAGACGTCACGTTGGTTTGCGGGAGGCCTTTGCAGATATCGATGAAGGTCTGGTTCAAGGAGAGAGAAGGAAAGAAAAAAAAAGGCACGGATTAATAAAGAAAAATACACTTACTCACGTCGTAAGCACGTCCCAAGGCTCAAGATGACCGAAAGAGCGGTCAGAGAGGTGGGTCTTGAGACGCAGCTTGAACGAGGGAGCCCGAAAACTTGTGGCCCAAAGCGAATCACACGAATTCACACCGTTAACAATCAAAGCAAAGACCGTTACTTACGTAGATTATGGCCAGGACACCGCTGTACGGGTAGATCTGCAGGTCGAAGATGTATTTTAACACTGAAATCAAGATCTGTAGCCCAGCCGCCGTCATGAAGCCTCTGATGAAGGACTCGGAGAGGTAAATGGAGATGAAACCAAACTGTACGAACCCCAAAGAGATCTGCCAAGTGACGAGAGAGGTCAGACCGGATTATTCCACGTGGGCGCTTTACCGTAAGAATGATGATGATAATCCTTGCAGTTGATAAAGAGCCTCGGCACATCGTCGAGACGTCTCAAAGCGCTTCACAGGAATGTAACTGTAAAGTGAATCGACTTGGATGTTTTTGCAGGCGAAACGCGGCAGCCAATTGCACACAGCAGCGTCCCCCGCAAACAGTCGCGGACGGAGCGACCAAATTACTATTATTAATTTGATAATATACGACCATTTGAGGTGTGGCCAAGCACTTTACCTGGATGACACCTGTTAAACACGCCAGAGTTCCTGATATCTTCATCCGGGCATCATATAGCCCTTCGGTGTCTGTGACAGTCTGATTCAGGGTTTCGTTGAAGTATTGGAATTCGGAATCTGGAACCAAGGACTGACATACGCTGCCCACTATAATACTCAGCACCGCAAAAGTACCTGGAAGGAAGACATTATGACAATAACTAAGAAAAAAATAATAATAATTTCACCGCCGCTGCGTTTCGCCCACAAAATAGCAGTCATTACACTTTACAGAATACCCTTTGAGACGTCTTGAAGACGTGATAAGGCGCTGCATCAAATGCGAGGATTATTATCATTGCTATTATTATTATTATTATTATTATTATTATTATTGTTGGGCCAATGAGAGGAACCTACTTTGCGTTCGCCTACAAAACACACAGTCATTCCACGTCGCAGCGAATGCCGTGAAGCGCTTTGATGACGGACAGAGCGACGTATCGAATGCGAGGATTAATCGTTCTTAAAAGCAGATTGAGAATGAAACGATGGCGGGGGGGGGGNAAATGGAGACCAACCTGGGACCATGTGGTGTGTGGTTCCTAGGAAAAAGTATACGATAAGCGGGAAGAAGGACGAATACAGCCCATTAACCGGTGGCAGGCTGGCAAGGAGAGCGAATGCCATTCCTGTTAAAATAAAAAGCACGTCTGATCAGCGAGCGAGACACGGCCTTGGCAGAAATCAGAAGCCACAGCCATCGCACTTAACCAGGGATTAAGCACCGTGTGTTAATTATCGCCTCAAACGGATTGACACCCCTCAAAATTTCGTCCCCCCGCTGCTTCGAACGAGAGGCCCGTGGTGATTTACCCGTGCGCGTGGCGTCACGCAAAGCACACGGTGTTTCCCCGTGAAGCGCTTTGGGGCGTTGTGCTTGAAAAGCACCACACTGAAATGTAAGGATTGTTATTAACTATTATTATTACTTATTATTATTATTACCACACACGTGGAAATTTCAGTCTGGTTCAGATACCTTTCGAGCACGGTTTAGGATCTCTCCAAAAAATAAAAAATTCATCACGTGCTGTTTGCCGCCAGCGGGAGAGAAACCCCCCACCCCCCGACTGTCCCTTGCGACGGAGCGCGGACCAGAAGGTTTCCCTACCTTGGGGCACCTGGATGGTGCCACCGCTAATGCCGCTGATGACGTCCACCACCAGGTTCTTCTTGATGTTGTACTTGGGAAGCCAGGCCAGGAAAGGCAAGAGCTGCAGCACGACGGACTTGAGTCGCGCGGTAGAACATCTGGAACAAAATCGAGTCGAGAGCAAAGTTCACGTCATCTGGCCAACGACGAACCCCTTAAGAACATGGTGGGGTGGGGGGTGGGGGGTGGGGGCAAGGGCAGAATCCCTTACGAACTACTGGTGGAGGAACCGGTGGTAATTAATGCCGTTATTAATAATCCCTGGTTTGGTAGCGCGCGGTATCACGTGGGACGTTGTCTCAAAGCGTGTCACAGGATATACCGTAAAGTGTAGTGACTGTGTATTTGGGGGGGAGGGGGGCAGCCAGTTCATGCACAGCAGTGACTCCACAAACAGCTGTGGAGCGAGCAAGCGATTTTATTCGGAGGGATTGTCGGCCAGGACACCGGGCGGGAGAGAGAGAGAGAGAGAAACTCGCAAGCTGACGCAGCCCCCGCCACAACCCCCCCACCCCCACCCCAAGAAAATGTTGGGTGGGAGCAGGAGGGGACGGTGGAAATATGAGTCCCGCTTCGTAGTTGAAGTATGAATCATCAATAGCTTTTACACGACAGTTGCAAGCTTCCCGCCGCTTGTTGAGCTAACATCAACCTCACCATCAGGGCTTTGGCTCGTTGGGCTTATCGGGAGCCAAGGAAGGAATAATCCCACTCCTCCCTCCCTCCCTCCCTCCCTCCCTCCCCCCTCTCAAGTGGACGGAGACCCGGAATGACTCAATAACGGGAACCGGATGAAAAGCAACTCGTCGGAACCTCAATCCAGTCAACCCGTTCTCACACAGAGAGAGAAAAGAATATCAATCGGAGTTTGTTTTTTTACCGGAACAGTTTGCGGGCTTTCTCCGAGTGGGGGTAGCTTCGGATCTTCTTCTGGTACTCATCGTCGAATTCCGGGACCGAGTACGCAGCTCGGTCAACGATATACCGCGTGCGGATTTGCATTTTGCCCCGCCTTAGGTTCTGGAGGGAAAAGTAACGATGGGGGGGGTTAGGTTTTGGTAGATGGGGTGGGGGTGCTCTCAACTCTGGGCTGGTCCATTTTCGTGGTGAAGTTGGAGGCAGAAACAACGACAACAACAAATTATTCTTGTGTAGAGCCCTTCACGTCGCAAAGACATCCCAGATTACTTTGGAGTTGGGGGAGGGGGTAGAGCGGAGAGGGAATGAGGGGGCAAATACAGCCAATAGGTTTCCCAAACTCTTCTCCATTTTCATCATCACTGGAAGCAGCGGTGAAGATGGAAGTGGAAGCCAATTTGCTCGATCAACGTCTTAATCTCCACGGAACAAATTTGTAGAGTGAGACAGACAATTGCTTTTTCTCCCTTAAGTTCACACACCATCGGGTGTGTTCTTACCTTCACTGGTGATTTTTCGCAGGCAATTCAGAAGCTAAGTACACTGGAACTCATTGTCCACCCACTTTGGCTTTTCTCCCTTACAGTCACTTACAGTAAGTCGTATTTTAATGTCCTTTTTCTTGCCCCCAGACTTTTGCAGCTAATAAAGAGGTATTCCTGTTAGTAACAGTGACTCAAACTGCTCTCCTAGTAATTAACAGCGGCGCTGTTTGCCCTTTGGAATCAGTAACCCTTTGGCTTATGCAGACTGACTGCAAAGTGTTTGACTTTAGTTTGAAGATGATTTAGCTTTATTCGATCACCCCTCAAGCAATTTGGTGGAAAAGGCCTTGAAACTGGCCGGAAAAAAAAGCAGCTACATGGCTTTTGTAAACGTCTCTCTGCATCCCCGACTTCGCGTTAACTCTTTCTTTCATTTAGCCCCCTCTTCTCTCTTGCATTTACTTCTTCCCCCGATTTATAATCGCTTTCGTCCTCCGAGTCGCTGGCGAATTTTGGCTGCTGCGTTTCACCCACGTAGCACCATTCGGTTCAGATCTATGGTATTTTGTCAAGCACTTCGAGTTGATCCAGAAATTGCGTTGGATAACCACAAGTTGGGGGCATTGTGTTGCTTTTCGAAGCGAAGTGGTCGCCCCTCACCCACTCTATCTCCTGGGAAAGGTCCTCATACAGATGCCCCGGCCCACAGAGGTAATTGAGCAAATATTACACCATTTTCATTACGATGACAAGAAATACGTCTTGCCCACAAAATGCACAGTCAATTCGCTTTACAGTGCGTTCTGTGAGGCGCTTTGAGACGTCCCGAAGAATGATGAGGCGCTGTATCAAATGCAAGGATTATTATTATCATTGGTTTGTATGGAGCTCATCTGATCTCTTTCCTCAAGAATACTCACCCTACAACCTTCCCATCGCAGCATCAAGCTGTTTTTTAAATGAAGCCCAGGGTCCTGGTCTCAATCACCTATCTTGGGAACCTGTTACAATAGTTTTAACGTCTGGGTAGAGAAATATTTCCGGATGTCTATTCTGAATTGACCTTTGCAACTCTGAACCCGTTTTCTCTTGCTCTTGCACAACCAAAAGTATTGTTCTAATAAATGCATTATCTTCTGAATCCTATTTATAACCCAGCACACCCTTTGCTGAGGTCCAGCTCAGAGATGTGTCCTTACTGAAGACTGTAGAGCCCCAGTTTGTCTAATTGTTACTCAAATCCATCCACACTTCTTGACACTGATCACCCTCCCTGCAATAGACAATGCTAAAAAAAAACTGGAGTTGACTGCAAGTGTTTACATGGATTTATTTATGTGTATCTACTTCCTGCGATAAGCAGACGCATAAATATTCTTATCAAAGTAATTAGATAAGAGATGGATGTGAATCAAGCAGGTGCAGTTTGCAGCTAAGGTGTAATGCGCTTAACAGAGCTTTGATACCCCTGTGAAGTTGCTGTGAAAACCTTGTCATGCACCGAGCTTTTCTGTGCCACCCAGACATGGTTTGGGGCAATGAAAATAAGCCAGCGGTTTGCACGCAAGCATCAGTTTATAGGCCTGCAAAGCCGTGCCCTCCTTATGCCGCGGTGCCAAAATTGAAGGGGTCTACTCCGAAGCTGGGAAATGGTGATGAATATTACCTTTCAATAAAATAAGGTCGTCCCCTGGGAACAAACCCATTACTTTGTCGTTTTGCTGAGCTGTTCAGCTTCAGTGGTGTCACGTGCTGTTTTGTTGACAGTGGCAGCCCCGGTGACTACTGACGTGGTGGTGGGTTTGATTTGGGGGGCTACTGGAAGGATTTATACCATCCTCAATAGTGTTAAACCCCTTCTTAATCCCCGATCATTGTGCGGAATCTAATTTTTCTCTTTGCTCCCTCTTTGCTTTCTTGTTTCACGTCTTGCTAAATGCTCTTTTTATTCGGTCTCGTTCTCTTTGCTTCCTCCGCCTTTTCCATCCCTTGTGCGATGGGAAGAAAAAACAAGAGAGCGAGCGGTGGGGCAGGAGGGAGGGAGAGAGAGAGAGAGCAAGAGAGGTGGGGTGAGGGGGATTGAAAGAATAAGAGCGAAAGTGTTTCCGAATCTCAAAACCCTGAGCCTAAATTTACAACGCGAAAGCTTTGCTAAGATCTCGTTTTAGAAACCCCTCGGATACCTGGTGAAACCTCGGAGGACAATAATTGGGTTAAGTAGTGAGAAGGGTTAAGGAGCTTGAGAAGTGTACTAATGGATTGAGAAACTGGGGCAGATTGAGAAGAAAAAAATAGTGGTCTTCCCTCAGCCCAAGATCTCGTTATGTTCTGATGAAATTGAGTGAGCAATAAACTTTCACATCTGTGTCAATATCCTATTGCCTCAGTCCCCCTGCAGTTAAAAGTGTTTCCAGTAACAATATTCAAGGACATATTTTGCTTCACTGTAAAGCGCAGTGCCAAGACTACTTCATTAGGGTGTTTTTTTTTCAGGCAAAACAACCTATTTTGTTTCCCCGGAAAAGGGCAGCCTGCTTTGCCTCATTTAAAAAAAAAAAAGAAATGTTTTTAAAACTATTCAAATAGATCGGAAGGTAAGTTCTAACCTTTTGTTCACGAGTCGCTGTCATTTAATAATAATAATAATAATAATAATAATAATAATAATAATCCTCGCGTTCGATAAAGCTGCTTATCACGTCGTTGAGACAGTCTCGAAGCCCTTCGCCAGACTATATATTGTGCGAAGCGTTTTGAAACTGAGGTTGGCAGGCAGAGAGAGAAATGCTAGATAAAACCCAGAGCGTTCGGGATACAGGGAGGAGGTTGCATTTTAGCTAAGGTCACCGGAGTTGTCTGGGGCATGGTCTAAATACCAAACAGCAGCCGAAATGCACTAACTAAGTGTTGCCTGAGCCACCCCCCTAAACCCTCATCCAAAGTTAATGGAAAACCCAACACTGAAACCATTCGACAGCGAGAAAAAGGTAAATATGTGTGAAGAACATTCTTGTGCGGCTCAGTGGCTAAGGGCATTGCTTATTGCAAGGTCCCCAGGCTCAGTCCCTTTGTCTGTGCTAAACTGACTGATGTTATTCGGTCTGACACTAGAGGGTGCCACAAATAATACAGCATTAATAATAATAATTGTGTTCATAATCCCCCTTGAATTTGATACAGCGCCTTTCACGTCAGGAGGTTGTCTCAAAGAGCTTCTCAGGATTTACCGTGACCGCACACCTCGTGAGCCAACACAGCCGAATCAACGCACACGTCCCACAAAGAGCGGTGAAGAGTACGGACTAATTTAAGGTCATTAAACCTTGGGCAAGTTTCCTTACTCCACACGGAGCCTAATAATAATCCCTCCAAAAAGACAGTACAATAATAAATTGGTCATTTTCAATCCATATTACTGTTTGTGGGACATTGCTGTGCACAATCGGCTGCCGCGTTCGCCCACAAATATACAGTCAATTCACTTTACAGTGTGTTCTGTGAAGCGCTTTGGGACGTCCTCCCGACGTGAAAAGCGCTATATCAAATGCAAGGATTATTATTTTCATTATTATTACCAAAAGGACGTGGGGCGGGCGAGGTTAGATAGTATTTCAGACAGAGAGGTTGTTGAACCAGACTCTGTAATGACTTTCAAAAGGGAATGAGAAAAATATTTTGAAGGAGTAAAAAATGCAAAAAGGGTGTGGAGGAAAGGGTAGGGGAATGGGAGTAAATGGAGAGATCTTTCAGAGAGTCGGAATAGCCATGTTGGGCTGAATGACCTCCTTTTGCGCTGTAAAATTCTATGGTTCTGTCATTGTTGTCTCCACACTGAGATGGGAAGTGGGTAAAACTCCTAAACACAAACCAGTTCCAATGTTGAGAGCTGAATAGGAGCACTTCACTATATATATATAGGAACATGGAAACAGGAGTAGGCCATTCAGCCCTTAGCTGTCCACAGACTCCCTGTCAATAACCTAAGCACAAGCAAGCATCAATACTGTGTCTGTCTCCTAAACAGCCTTGGACGTGACATGATCGGACTTCCAATCGACCCAAAGGATTGGGAAGCAGCCAGACTCCCAGAGATAGCGTTAATTGACAATTAACAAATCATGGAACCTTGGTGTGTTGCATACACCTGTGATTTCTCTCTCCCCACACACACACACACACACACTCCGAGCTGCTAACTTTCAGGTTACGCAGAATCCCATGTACCACCTTTCCGATCTCCTGGATGGTGGGAAAGGTTGTGGCGATTTCAAAGAGAGGTCTATTTTTAAAAAAATAATAGGGATCTGAGTGGGATCTCCTACCGATAATCCATCGCTAGCACTCTACGAAGTGGAGTTTCCCCATTAGTCAGTGTAATTAGCTTTCAGTTTCCTTCGCAAAGAATTCCATAAGAAATTTCCCCTAAGTTATTAAGTTATTAACTGGTATTGGTCTGGTACTGAGCAAGGAAAGCATCCTCGGCTCACTCCCAAGTCTGCTCTAAATTAGCCGGCGTTAAACAGAGCTCTGCAGAACAATGATTAAAACCAAACACTCATGGGGAGAGAGGTTGAATATTTCTTCATACAGAGAGTCATTTGGACATCGAACCTTATC